TATTTGAAACGTTGAACAAGTGCTACAATTCTGAGTTGAAACCCAACAACCCTGTGCTCTATGGCTGTTTTATATTCAACACATTCGTCTCGATATAAGCCAGGTCTCAACATATGCTGGACTTCATCGCAACTGCCAATCGGTCCCAGTCCTCTGGTACTGACCGGTCCCTCAGGTAGTGGTAAGAGTACACTATTGAAGCAATTAATGGATGAGTTCCAGGACTGCTTCGGATTCAGTATTTCTCGTAAGTTTGTTTCATAATCTATACACGTTTTGTACAATTAAAACATTTATATCTATTTAATATATTTATTTTACTTATAGATACAACTCGTAAGCCACGTGTCGGTGAAGTCAACGGCAGAGGTTTGTCTCATAACTTAATGTTTGTTTCATAAGTGAATTGTTTACTAAATATAAACTTTTTATTGAATAGAATATCATTTTATAAGTCACGACGAGTTCGAGAAGAGTATTGAAAGACAAGAATTCCTTGAATTCACACAATTCTCGAATAACTATTACGGAACGAGGTATCCATCCATACATACCATTCCACACCTCATAAAATGTGTCCACTTATTGAGCACATGTGTCTAAATTTGAACGAATTTACAGTAAAAAGGCTGTGAAAGACGTTCAAAATTGTGGCAAAATATGTATTCTAGACGTCGAGATCGAAGGCGTCAAGAATCTCAAGAAAACAGATCTAAACCCAAGATTTGTGTTCATTAAACCACCGAATATGGATGTATTGGTAAGAATTGAGACCCTGTTCTTCCCAAACATCTATAAATGTCTAAAACTGATTAACTTTAGGAAAAACGTTTGAGAAGTCGTGGCACTGAGAGCGAGGATGCGATTCAAAGACGGCTTAAGCGCGCTATCGATGAGATGCAATTCGGCGAAACTAATGGTGTTTTTGATTTGACTATAATTAACGACCGAATAGACGACGCATACAATGATTTGCGACAATTCATTGTTGAGGTATTCATGTGACATGAATTTATAAGTCATTCACTAATTGTATGATTTATATGACAGGATATAAATGCTCTGAAGTTTTCACGAGGAATGTGAGCCCTGATCCCAGAGATTATAACAAAAAAAATATTACCGTATACCGTAAATTACAAATTATTGGTTTTTAAATAGTATTAATTTTTTAAAAGTATATATTTTATGTATTCTTTTTTTTATTGGTTTATTTACACAGTATTTCTTTGATTCATTTATACAATTTTTTCTATAATTAAGTTTATATATAATTTCGAGACAATAGATATGTTATCACTGAATAGTAAGCCAAACTATGACTACTATTTCATATAACATTCATAGCTTATATTCATTTTATCTATTATATTATAGATTCTATATACTGTACTGTATTACTTGTATAACTTATGATAGTATTCTATAACATTATATTCTGTATATTTTAATTGTCCGACAAATTGCATCAATCCTATTGATAATGCATTGCATGTAATCTCTCGACGATACCTGTAATTAATTTGATGTCAAATCACGAGCATTGGTTAGAAATCACGCATTCAATTCAATTCAATGTATAAAAAATGTTTATTTAATAACTGATTTAAATTAGTAAAAATAGTATTCAATATGGAAAGCGATTAAATAATCTTAAGATAATCCAGAAGCTGTGAGAGGTGTGGGTTACCGCCCAGAGATTCCAGCTCTTGCCTCGTATTGGTGTTGATGTCGTCCAACGTCTTCAATGTGTACTCAAAAGATCCAAACGATTCCAACTTCTCGACCGCATATTTCTTGAGCTCAACGTTTTTAGTCCTCTGCCGTAATATATCTGCAATTCATTGCATCATTCAATGCAAACAAACATTAAAATACAATTACTGTACGTTTCACTCATGGATGTGGCATTGAATGAATGACTCAATCATATGATAAGTCATTATAACTAAAAGGTGTAATTATTTGATGAAATGTTGTCATTGAATGACAAATAATAGATAATTGAATTACTCATAAGTGTCGAGTCGTTTGGTTGACTACGGATTCCGTGAACGATAGGGAATGAGAACTTGCCTTCAGTTAAGTCCTCGCAATAACTCTTGTTCTCCTCGTACTGACCCATCAAACCATCAAATGATGCAAACATTTAACATTTCATTCACTTTTCCTTATCATTAATCGTATAATCATTATATCAGACCTGAAGGGACTTAAGGTTTGCGAAATCGTCTCTAATCTGGAAATATGTGCCCAAAAAGCCAATGAGTCGACTGTAGTCGCGCTTATCATCGCTGAACAGTTGCATGAGTTTGACTCCCAGTCCGAAGAGACCACCGGTTTTGCGGCCAATCATATCTAAGTACTGCTCTTCTGTCGGACATTTGAATGAATCCCTCCAATAGATGTCCATTCCTTCAGACAATACACACCGTTATAATCAACACAATCATTGGTCACTCGTTTCATGTCATGTCAGACCCTGTCCTCTGTGCAGCTCTAAGAGCTGTTCCGTAAATATAAGGACCGCCTCAGAGACCGATTGTTTCGGCAACTCTTTGATGGTCTTCTCGAGGCTCAGGAAATACACATAATTAGCAGAATTGATGGTCGAAGCGATGCCATAGATGTTGTGGGCGACAGGTATTCCTCTGCGAAGAATGGAGTTGTCTTCGATGTCATCGATCAGAAGACTGGCGTTGTGTAGCATTTCCACGATATCACTGATTACTGACAACTTGTCGCCTGGTATTTGAAACCAATGGTTGAATGCCTGCAACGATGCCAACAAACAAGTGGTCATCACATGAGAGTGAATCAGTCAATGAGTCCATCAGTGAACCACTCAATCACTCAATGCATACGTGAATCAGTTTCGTGCGGATCTGTTTACCACTGCATTGAAGCAAATAGTTGTACGGCTCTAACAGGATCTATACATCACATCAATGTCCGGATCAAACACTACTCGACCACCACTTTAGCCATTATTATCATACCTTCTCCTTCTGTGGTTCATTGTCTGTCATTGTGTTGTTCCCACTAAACGATCACCACTTCGATGATAAGGTCTTTGGTTTTGTGATTGAAATGTGTTTCGATGTCAAACCAAATCCGTTTGAATCGTTCAAAACATTTCCAATTAATTCACTTTTCGTACAAATCATCACAACTTTTGATTAAAATATTGTTTCCAATGTTTGGCTGTTTTGGAGACGCCTTCCCATCATATGATTGGATGCCATCACATGCATAGACCGACACACCTGTGCGCACAGGTAGTCTATGTCTCACCACTGATAGAATATTATGGTCATAGTTAGATAACCAGTCTAACAGTCCTGGCAAATGGATTAACTCAAAAACCATATTTATATGAAATACAGTATATAGTGAACACATAATATTGTAAAACATTTGACGTTTAAAATACTGTACAATAAAGTAATTGCAATTAAATAAAAGCCATAAATTTATTAAATTAATTTCATTTACAACTTTAACAAACATTAAAAGTGAATTAAAATCGCGATTTCATTGACTAGCGTTGAGTGAGATATTGATTCATTCATTCATTCAATTGATTACATAGTATAGAGTTCTTCACTTTGGAAGTGTTGGGAGGCATAGGCATGAGTCTAGTGAGGGGGTGACTCCTTCCCTGTTGCAACTTCGGGCCCGCCTTACGTACCACTTCCGTACTCCCGGAGCACTCCATGTGTATTGCATGGCTTTGTGAATGGCTTTTGTGAGTCAGCTCTGAGTCGGACCTCTTTTTCGATGTTTTTGCGAATTTGTTTGTAAAACACGAACTCATTTGCGATGAAAAGAAACTATTGGTTTGTATTTCACTTTCGAAAGACTGTTGAGATTTGATTCGTTTGAAGGGAAACTCAAAACTCGTTTTACGCAACGGTTTCAGTGTTTTTGGTTCAGCGGTCGACTCATTGAGAGTGGAAGCGCGCGGCCTATCGTTGCGGTTGATGTTGGGAGAGGAAGGGGTGCTGTGCGAGTGCTGGAGGGTCTCGGACTCGGCTGTCGTGTCTGAGCCGGTGCTGTGACTGCCCTTCACTTTGGCCTCAATCTTCTCAGTCAGTCGTTTGACGACTCCATCCGAGTCTTTCATTTTGGACGCACGGCTCGAATGAGTACTACTTTTACTGGTTGTCACAGAATATACTTTGGACTCGCATTCCGAGGAAAACCTATTTCTATATAAAATGGATTCGTTTAGCGATTGACTTAAATTGGATTGCATTCGCCTCTCGCTATTGCTATTAGACTGGATTTGCATCGCTTGTGAAGATTCATAGATTGGCTTTGTTTTTGCTTTAGTGTTGGGAATACTTTGCATCAAACTATTCATAACAGCACTTGTACTGCAAAGCACTTCATTCACAGCTTCTATAACCGAAGGCATACTTTTGCTGTGAGGGATACCCATGCGGCCAGTCCTCGGGTAATGCGACAATTCTTGTCGACTCGTGTGATCGCTGGACTCATTGGATGGTAACCGACAGGTCGTCAGCGGCGGAAGTGCTAACCCTTTGTTATTGTGATTGTGAGAGAACAGAGACGAACTTCGTTTGTGTCCTTTAGAGTCGTTGTGTTGTGACCACTGATGGCAATGGTTTTCGAACAGCGAAAGTGACAACTCTTTGAGAATACTATCGTAAGAGTTGGTTCGCTTCAGATTATTGTCTTCCAGTCTTCGCCGAGTGTTCACCACTTCAAGAGTCGGACTCAATTCAGTCGACAAGTCCTTCATATAATACTTATTCAAATCAATCACTTGTTCTCTCGACAAATGCTTCGAGGGTTTATCACAACTTTCTAATGGTTCCAGTCTTGGATATAGGGCTAACTTCTCGCTCTGGTGTTTAGGAATCGGAGGTTTAGATTGGAGACCAGTCTTCTGAATGGACTCTATGTTCGACAAATCAATCATCACTTCTTTATGCTTAACATTCTTATGATGTGTTGACTCAAACTGATTGGTCAGACTGTACACCAAACCAGAACTACTGTTCCCTTTAAGAGTATCGATCATTGCACTGGACTGTGACTGTGAAGTTTCAAAGTCTATAATCCTGTCCTTTACTATTGAACATCTATTTTGCACTTTATTTGTGTCCAAAATGTCAGTTTCAGTTAATTTCAATTCAATGCTTCTCTTGGCTTCCATAATGTTATAACACGAGGGGTCGGTTCCGAACCGTTGCCTTCCGTTCGACCGTTTATTCTTCATTTCCTTAACGTTTGAGTTCTTATTGTTAGCGAAGAGTTCACCAAAAATGGAGTCTTCGGGAGACCAAGACTTGGGTCTCTCAACAGAACCGGGAATTTGGAGAACATTTCCAAAATCCGAGTTCTCTTTATTGCAATCATTTTTATTGTTCATCTGTTTATTAATGCGATTCTTATTGTTCGCCAACTCTTCGTTACTCTTCCTTTTGAGACAAATGTCTTTTGAGACCAAATTGGTCTCAGATTTGGATCGCCAAAGACTGTTATGTCTCTGTTTGCTATCAAATATAGAAATTAAGTTGAGATGAGAGCAGAACTAGCGACGGGGGGAATGTAATGTCAAACCTGGCGTCAAGTATTCCCTGATAGATCTCAAGTTGTCTGAGAAACCCAGAGTTCGGTCGAATACAGTTGCGCTTGTTTTTGACGAACTCGAAGGCCTCGTCTAACTTCCATCCCGTCTCCTTCATCACAAACGCCAACACCACAGATGCCGACCTCGAGATACCTTTCTTGCAGTGAACCAACACTTTGGAGCCCTCGTCTCTGTGTTGACAACAAAAGCGTTATTCAAATGACAAACACAGAGAACTGTTGACTCGAGCCATACTTGGCTTTGCGAATGTATCGAAAGGTTTTGTCCCAATATTTCAACATTTCGGTCGAGTCGTCGTCATAGACCCGGATGTTGTAGTAGTCGAACATTCCAGGGAAGAAGTTGTCGATCTCTCGCGTGACGTTCAGAATTTTGCCCACACTTTGCACACAAACACCCAAATAATGTTAGTTTCGATAAACCATTATAAATGCAATTCACAAATCAATACCCCTTTCCCTTGAGTTCCTCAAAGTTGGAGGCATTCCATTCAGAGCCCAAATACAAGTAGTCGAATATCTGTGAGGACTCATCCATTTGTCCCAATATTTTGAGCATTTCCTCGTCGATGAATGACTTATATTGACTCAAATCCTTTCCCAACTCTCTCTCGATTTTGGTTCGGATCTAACGAATGCAACAAACATTGAGTAAATGGTTTGCAGTGTAATGAGAGGGAAGGGAAGGGACGCACGTATTTGGAGGTGACTTCGTCGAGATTCTCGGCCATCATTACTTCCTTGAGTTTGGCACGAATTAGTTGTTCGGTCGCCACCTGTTCGGGAGGCCTAACACCACAACACAGACAACTCGTTTGGTTACACACAACCCAATCATAACAATCATTAAATACACACTTTGTTCGCAGGTCTGGAGAGGGCGGCCTCTTATTCAGCAAATCATCCATTGCATGCCTGCCATGGATTAGACATACGTTCAGACTGACTAACAATTACATCATTTGTAATACAAATACCATACCATTCATTATATGCCGAGCGATCAAATGTAACCTTCTTTTCGTAATAACTAATCCAAGAGTGAGAGGTTCCGCCGGAAAAGTAATTATGTTCTCTAGACTTATGGCTCACTCTATGCAGTGTTTGCAGAGCAGACCTATTGGTAAGAGATCCGAGCAATTAATTCACATTTATATCAAATAATATGCAATAAATACCACATCGCCTGAACGGATACGGGTTTGAATATATGATGCCTTTCATAGGATGTTATACTAAAACCTCTGTTTCACAAAAACATAACAATTAATGTAATAAATGTGTATAAAATTAATGTAAAAAATGATCATTTAGTACATCATATAATACATCAGATTTTTATGTTATGCAACAATAGACAAGAGTGAAGACATACCCGTCGCCATCGAGTGTAATGCGAGTGTCGGCCCAAACGGGAAGTACTAAACCAATGGACGCCTCATTATTACAGTCGATGCCTAAGAGACAACTCTCTTCTCGCGACTGAGACATAGAACTAACGATAATTAGATATCGGGTTCGGTTGGGGTATATGCTCTCCAGTTTGACCGCCTGTCCACACATACAGACAATCATTAGTACAACACATTCAGTGCATTCAACACAACATTCAATACCATTCTGAGTGTGTCTTCAGGTCTGAGCAAAACAAACATAGACTGCAAGTGCTTCTGAATGTCAGCTGTGGACGAGTTCTTCGACAAACTCTTGTAGACATGAATACACTCTTCATGTGGTAATATGATGGCCGCACCCCTCACAGCGAAGTAGCACTCGTTACCACTAAAAATGAGACAATCAATGCAACCATTCATACAATCAAATTGACATCTTCAGCAACAAATGTCTGCAAAACAGATGCAAACCTTTTATGGGAGTCCAGTGTCTGTGACTCCACTAAAGAGTACTTCATTTGTTGATTTGAATCACACTTCGGGTGTAATTGTAATCAAAAACAGATCATTAGTATAGAAATGATATGAAAATTGTAAATATAATTAAAATATCCGTCAAAATGAAGGCAAACCTTAATCTTCATGTTTTGGTGAATGGATTCAATGGATGTGTTTCTTTGGATAGTGATGAATGCCATTAGAGGACAATGAATGAGACATTCAAAGCATACATTCAAATGATTTAAACATTCATTGAATATAATATTCACTAAAACTCATACTAATTGTAATCACAAACTGATCACAAAACCAGTGATAGTTATACTCGTAATCATCAAAACAAATATGAATTTCATGACAGATATGCGACAGAAATGAAAGCAAATGCTTATAAATCATATGAAATACCCATTCAAATGGCATTCAAAACACATAATCAATGAATCGATGAATCAATGACTAAATGAATGCATTAATCAATGACTAAATCATTGAATCATTTGTTTGTGTTTTAGTGTTAAGACATAAACACTCTTCGATTGAATCGATAATCGGTGCACAAAACCAGTGCACGAATCCATTGATCGCTTGCAAGCAATGCATTCAATGCGAGCCTATGTTTGGCAACAATTCATGGCATCACTCAATACGTCATGCGATTCATTGACTCAAACATACAGTCATTCACAACCAGTCAGTCATTCACTCCGACATCCAATGCATTCATATAAAGCGTAACACTTTATGTCTGATTACAGGTTCACAAGCGATACACCTGTAGTACTGTATGAAAGCATAATATGTTATACAAGTACAGTATGAAAGCACAGATACACCTCTAAACAAATTATAAACAGTCATTTCAATGAAGTATTCACTGATCATATTAATAAACGCATTCATTGTTACATATTTTACCTCTTTTTTAGTTTAATTTATTGTTACATAAACTCCACACAAGTTGTCACCAAACAAACAAATACAGTACAGTATTGCACATCTCATTCAATATGATACAGTAGATACAGTACAGTATTAAGTTAATAGATACTGTATCATATATTGTAGTCTATCATAATTATCAAGGTAGTTCTAAAAGTTTTGAGTTCAAAGTTCACTATAAATGAAAACTTTTTGAATGAATTGTTGGATTGAGACATTTGTGGATTACATTGTAGTTAGCATTATCATATAAAGAAAGTGTCTATACAAAGACAGTTTGTATATTGAACAATTGCTTTTATACTCCAATTACAACTTGAATTGATTAGTTAAATGAATTAAATTGAGTGAATTTGACAAGTTTCGGTTTACTTGAGATTAGAACCACTTTCAACAGTAAGTAGAATAGACTGATAGATATCATACATGTATTGGTATATTGAATATTCCTACAGTAATACAGTATTAATAAAACAAACAATTTCAAGTTGTTTCCTATTAATATTTACGAATACATTTTCACTGATAATTGACTGTAAAACAAGTGTTTAATATTTTCATAAATAACTTTTTGTCACAATTATGAATAAAATTGCATTTGTCATACAAAGTCTCTATTGTTATATAATAATTAAATATATGATCATATTCTGTAATACATGTACTGTACTTAATGCTATTATATCTCATACTACTCAATTATTTATTTATTTATTATAATATTATTATAGTTTATTTTAAAAAATACCATGGGAAGTTTGACTTATTATTTTAGCAATATTAATGTTAGACTTAGTCACCAATGGACAGGTATGGTACAGTGCATTTTAATTGTAACACCTACAGTATTTAGCGCTGTAACATGAATTTCATATATTTTTCATATGACTGTGATACTTGATGAAATTAATTTGGATATGAAATACTATATATCTCTTACAAACTCTCATTTCTTACTGCTATCATCTCGTACAGTAATAATATTATAATCAATATTTAATTTGATTGCAAAACATATTTTTATTGATCTCTTTTCATATTTAGTGTCTTAACTGACAAAATATTGAATAATAACAAGGTTTCCATAAGGAATCCCATAAGTCCCAATGCATATACAGTACATCACTAAACTTTAGGTATCATAACACAATAGTCAATATAGAATCTATATTATAAATATTAATGACAGTAGTTCATAGTAATGTAATTTATATTGGCACTTGATTCCTTATGAAATATTCCTTATAATATTATTATAATAATGTATACTGTACCAAGCACAATTAATTAAATCTTCAGTTACTGAACTTGTTTAATATGTTTAATTATTAAATCATTGATATTATAAGCAAGTGAAACACTGACTTGAGGCTATTTTAATAGTATGCAAATAATTTAATTGGTTAGCAAACATTGAATAATAAAAACCATGATAATTTTATTATAAATAACTTTATTATTATAAATGAAAATTGATTTCAAGTAAACAAAACATTTCAATAGAAAAGATAATTTATTTATTAAAAATAATAATAAAATTAAAGCATAAAAATACAAATTCATAGCTGCCTTTGAATTTCACTATCAATTGAATACAAAAATATATCAATTATTATAGAAAGAGCTCTTAATTAGTGTTAAGCTCTTAAAACCAGATCCAATCGATTGCTTGCTATTCGACATCATATTTAGCTGCCATACGAAACAAAACATCATTTTCTTAAATATTATTAATTATACATAAAAATATATTTGACATTAAAATAAGTTTAGTTTCATGAATACGAATAGCGAGCAAACAAATCACATATAGTTTTAAATCACTTGAACCGGTAATTTGTGTTACAATTAAATACTTTGTTTCACATGAAAAACTGTTTTAATATTAAATAAAAGACTAAAAAGGAGTAAAAGGTGTTGACAAGTGAGTGGCAGAGTGGGAGGGCCCCGAAGTTGACCACTTTTCAGGTATAACACGAATACGGAGTACAGTATCAAAGACAAAATGATGACAAGTTTCTGTAAGTGTGTGTGGATTGACATCTTTGGCACTTCTGCCACACATTACTGTCATTTGGTGTTTATCACCAGAAAAGTGGTCAAAATCTGAGTATAGAGTTGTAATTGTAGACCTGAATTAAACCATTAAATGGAAAGTTAATTGCTTGAACATTTTGCGATCACCAGAACCGGGAGTTTGCTTTATATATGAAAAGGGAGGTCGGGTTTGGACAATGAGATGAGTGGAGAGATGTGTGCTTTTCAATGAGACAATGGTTTGAATGATGCGATAAATTAATTGAATGAACACTTCATAAATTAGGCTTTAATTGGGACTATTATATCACATGAGACTAAGCAGTCATATATGAGCCCTAATGGAGTCACATATTATGTGATGTCGGGTAATAGTCGGGCGAGGGTTCGGCTATTGGTTCCGGCGTTGTATACAATGGGTTAGGAAAGTCTGGCGGATGGGGCAGAGGTCCGGCGCGTTTCGGTTTGCGCCGGTAGGCCATCAGCCAACACGATATGGCCACTGCCACCGCTACCAGTGCTAAGAGTGTAGTTAATATCATCGATATAATGAGACCTAACTTCGGAAGACACACGTGTTCTATGTCTTCCACCTTCGGTCCACTGGCGTCGGGATGTACTGACGGCTGGGGATCTCTCTTCTCAAACGTGAGGATAGCGTTCGACTGAACCATAATCTCCTCGCGAAGGGCCCCCTCTTTGAAAGCGTCCGTCAAAACTAGATCTTCATCACTGATCTGTCGGCGTTTGCGTCGACCGTAGGCGTCGACGCCCTCGCAGTTGACGGGCGGACACGACCCGAAACAGACTCTAATATTGCACTGGAATCTCAAGTTATTACTCGAAGGGAACTTAAAAGCATTGAATCGGGCCATCAGTGACTTCTTGTGCGGGTCGTACTCCCAATTGCCGAAAATGCTTGAATCAGTGGCGCACCCGTTGGCGTCCGTCACCTCGTACTGGAACTCTCCGTCGTCTTCCATAGTCTTGGCGACACAGCTTCGAGCGAACCCACCGTATATGAAGTCCGGCTGGACGTCCACTTTGAGCAGTAAGTCATCGCCAATCTCTGCTGAGTTGATCTCTTTGCCCTCGAGAGTGCAGATCGACATAATACAAGTGGGCGGCGGACCCGTGTTGGCAATCGTACCCGAAGTGGTAATCATACTGACGTTGAAGCCCAGGGTTATCGTCTTCTCTCCCGTATTGTAAACACATTTTATATGATAAGCTCGAGCTCTGAATGTGACTAATTTGGGGTGTTTTTGAATGATCAGCACAAACGACGCCTCCCCGTCCACATGTATGAGCCCGCAGTGACCGAACAGCACTTTGAAGTCAACAGAATCGCCTTCATTGCTGGTCACCATTCGTCGACACTGAGGGTCTTGACTGTGACCCTTCACGTATATAATGCCATCGAACCGATCCAATTGCACCGACACCTGAACTCCATCAGCCAAACACATGACTGCAATAAATGACAATTACATTAGACAACAATTTCTCGACATATACACAATCAGTGCATATAATACCCAAAATCTCTGAGGGCGGGGGTATTGTTCGAGACTCGAAATCTGGTTCCACATAACAGCCGACGGCCTTATCGTAAGGGTCTCCTATGCGACCCTTAGGACACGTGCAGATGGCTTTGTGGTCACGGGCTGTACACTCGGAATGCGGTCCACAGATATAACACGGGCCTAGAGTTTGTATAAATCAAGGGTTCATTAATAACAGAAACAATGGCGCAAAGTCTAATGACTTACTTATACACTGTTTGCTTCCTAAGTCACACTCCCTGTCATTAGCGCAGTCATCGATAGCACGACAGCCATCGATCTGTTTGCATCCCTTGACATATGGGTCTCCAATGGAGTCGACCGGACAGCTGCACTCATAACCACCCGGTTTGTTGTTACAGATGGCACCGGAACCACAGGTCACGTGCAGACACTCATTCAAGTCGACGCATTCACCGCTCGGATGCAATTCATAGCCGTGCGGACAAACACAGAATCCGCTTCGGCTGCCGGTGTATACGCACTCTTCGTTGAGTGGACAGGGATTAGTTGTCGTGCAGTTCTCAGATTTGATAAAACAGTAGTCGTTTTCGCGGAAGAAGTTCTGTGGACAGCCGCATGTGTTGCTGTCCAAACAGATTAGGTTTCCGGGACAATGATAGTCAATACCGCAAACGATTTTCTTGAAACATAATTTGAATGGATTTCCTTCGTGTCCGGGCGGGCAGTAACAGTCGGACTTATGGTTCTCTGTCCTGCAGATAGCATTTTGCCCGCATTTATATTCGGCGGCCGTATATCCCTTCACACCAATCACTGTAGTCACAGAACAGGGATCTGTGGGTAAAATGAATATATTGAGTGAAATCTATAATTACTTTTAGAGTTATGAATACAAACCATAACACTCTCCAGAATTGAATTCACATTTCTTTGTGAGCGCACAGTCAGAGTCGGCTCTACAGCCTCGATATGGCGGCGGAATGAGACGACAGCCCTCTCTGTATGGATCGCCTTCGTATTGATTCAAACACTGGCACTCGTATGAGCCCAACAGGTTATGACAGCTGGCATTCCTCGAGCACACTATTCGCGGCTCTTCTATGCATTCATTGATGTCTTCGCAAAGACCGTCGAGTGATAATCTGAACCCTCGCGGACAGACACAGAATCCGCCGCCAGTGCCGCTATAAATGCACTCCTGGTTGGCCAGACAGGGGTTAGTAGTCGTGCACTTCTGACTCCTCTCTGCAAAAACAGTTTACACATAATTAGAGATTTCTAATACAATAGAAATAGTCAATCAATTACTTGAACAATAATCCAATTGTCTTTCAAAATCTGGAGGACAGCCACACTTGTTGTCAGCCAAACAGATGAGATTACCCGGACAATTGCCATCAGACACACACTCCACTGGTTTGCGACAGATTTCATATGGATTTCCGAAATACAATGGTTTGCATTTGCATTCTTTACGGTGATTGACAACTCCACAGATGGCATTTTGTCCGCACTCGTGGTCATCGAGACATGGACCTGATAATTAAGAATCAAATGGTGTTACCGATCAAACAATTTACTACAGACAGCAAAAGTCTTACTCAAACACTTGAATTCAATGCAAGCCTTGTCTTCGTGACAGTCAGAGTCGTGAAGACATTCCTGTTTTGGCGCATCCGCTGAAAGAAACATAATATAATTGATTATATTTGATAAGAAGTTTTAGTGAATTAAATATAATATACCGAAACATCCGTCTCCGTTAGGATCTCCTGAACTGGTTGGAGGACACGAGCACTTGAAGTTGCCTACAGTGTTGGTGCAAATGGCTCCGGGACCACAGGGGAACGTTTGCTGTTCACATTCGTTGATATCTCTGCAGAAACCATCGGAAGTGAGAACGAAACCTCGCGGACAGATACAGAATCCGGTTAAATCATTGCCACGATTGTAGACACACTCCTGATTCTGTGGACAGGCATTACTCGTCGAACAGTTGACACTCGTTACTGAACATTAAGAATACAACAAATACTCGATGAGTTTATTCAATGAGAAAATTGTGTACAAAATACATACGGGTGCAGAAAGAGGACAGTTGTTGGAAAGGTTTAGGACAACCGCAGAAGTCACCCAAACAGTTGAGATTTCCAGGACAGTCGGCATTACTGGTACACGAATCGCCTAATAATCCACACAATTATGTAAATATGAACAATGAATTGCTTACAACGATGTGTTTAGATATAAACTTACGAATAGAGCACTCGACGTATGGGTTACCACGATGTCCGGGCGGACAGAAACACTCAGACTTGGAATTGACTGCTTTACAAATGGCTCCCTTTCCACAGACTCCAGGTCTCGAACAGATATCTGTTGGAAATGACATTAATTATAGCGAATGTACCATTTATTTCAATATAATACAAACCATAGCACTCTTGAGTGACGGGATTACACTTCTGTTCTTCTTTACAGTCAGAGTCCAGAAAACAGACGGGAAGTGGAGCTCTGCAACCGGCCGGTCCGTACGCATCACCAACCAATGACATAGGACATGAACACTTGAACCATCCAGGTAAATTGGTACAACTGGCACCGGGACCACATGGGACGCGTTCTTTCAGACATTCGTTGATATCTTTGCACTCCTGGTTGGCACAGACGTATCCGTTTCCACAATCCTTGTCCACTTCGCACTCAACCGATACTTTAGTACATTGTCTGAGAGGATCACCTGTATATCCGGGAAGGCACGAGCACTGGGCCTCGTGTTTCTCAGCTCTGCAGATAGTGTTGACGCCACACATGCCTCCAATACTACACGGACTCTGACAGAAGCCGTTCACACAGGCCTTGTCGAAGGGACAGTTGTTGTGCATACGACAACCCACTAGTCATACAAAACAACCATTATTAGTACCAAAGCTGTTAACATAAGTGTCTTATAATTAATTGTATGTCAAATACCAATGCATTTCTGTTTCAAACAAATCCTTTCGAGACCGCAATCGTCATCACCTCTACATTCGGGAGGAATTTCTTTACACTCAACGTCTGGATCTCCTCTGTAACCACTCGGACAGCTGCAGACGGCCACGTGATTGGCCGCAGAACATATGGCTTCCTTACCACAGGCGCCGCTATGGCTACACGGGTTCGTACACTTGCTTTTGATACACGCCTTATCGGTGGGACAATGACTCGATGTTCGACAGCCGTCTGTTTAATAGCAATCATTAATAATTGTAATGAAGAGCTTTTGTGGCAAACGAATAGATTTGAAAAGAAATACTCACAAACACATCGCTGGTTCTGACAGATATGTTCGAGAGGGCACTGCGGATCAGATGTACACTCCGGCGGCGGTAATATTCTCTCGCACAACACTTTTGGATCTCCCGTGAAGTCTGGAATACAGGTGCAGACTCTATCGTGATTTAATGGCTTACATACAGCGTTCACACCACAGGCGCCAAACAAATTGCATGGGTTTTGACACTTCTTAGAGATACACGACTCCTCAAAACGACAGTTGGCGTCATTCCTACAGCCGTCTGTTCGCGTAAACACACCAATCAGTCAATGGTTCAAAGAATTTACAAATAATAGTCTAAACCTACCGATGCATCGATTGGTTTCACAGATCTTTCCGAGAGCACAGGCAGAGTCCTGTTCGCAATAGTCGTCCGGAACTGAAAGTATTTTCAAATTAATATTCAAGGTATACATGAACTCAATGCACATCTCATACTTGGTTCGCATTTAACGAATGGATTTCCCCTATAGTTGTTAATACATTCACAACGAGGTCTATGGTTGAAGGGCTGGCAGTTTGCGTTGACTCCACAGCTGTTTGGCAAAAGACACGGGTTTTGGCAAATTCCGTGAATACAGGCGCGGTCTTCGTGGCAGTTGTTGTCGAGACGACATCCGGATATACACTGAGTATTCTCGCAGATCTGTCCCAAAACGCATTCGCTATCTTTAAGACATTGTGGCGGCGCTTCAGTACAGACGACATTAGGGTTGCCTTTGAGTCCTGAGGGACAGCTGCAGATGGAGGTGTGGTTAAAAGGCTTGCAAATAGCGTTCCGACCGCACACTCCAAATAGAGAGCACGGGTTCTGACAGATGCCGTTAATACACGACTCCTCCAGACCACAGCCCTGACTGTCACGACACCCGATTATGCACCGGGAGTTCTCGCACACCAATCGATTACCACAATCGCTGTCCAGATGACACTCGCGGACGTCTTGAAGGGGTCGACACTCGACGTGTGGGTCACCGATGAAGCCCGAGTGACACGAGCAGACGGGTCTGTGAGCGTTAGGCGAACAGTCGGCGTTGATTCCGCAGGCGTTGGCGTATTCGCAGGGATTCCTACAAATGCGGTTATAACACGTCTCGTCGGGCGTGCAGTGATCGTCGTGACGACAGCCCTCCACGCAGTTCCCGGACTCGCAGATGTAGCCGAAGCTGCACTCGAGGTCTGCGCCACAACTGAGCAGTTGATGGGAGTCTTCGCGCTCACAGACGGCGAATGCGTCGCCACTGAACTCTGGCGGACAGCTGCAGACGGCTCTGTGATTCTCCGACTGACACAACGCGTTGCGACCGCAGGCGCCGAACACAGAGCACGGGTCCTGACAGCGCTGGTTAATGCAGGCCATGGTGTAGCTGCACGTGTCGTCCGTACGACACGCGTCGATGCATTTGCCGTTTTCGCATATCTGTCCCGTCCCGCAGTCGCCGTCCTGAAGGCACACCGGGATGATGACTGGTGTGCACTGAACGGTCGCGTCACCAGTGAAGCCGGGCGGACACGAACAGCGGGGTCGGTGACCAACTGTCGTGCACTGGCCGTTCACTCCACATGAGTCCGGGTAATCGCATGGGTTTAGGCATTGCTTGTGAAGGCAGGTCCTGTCGTGCGGACAGTTCTCATCGAATTTACAGCCAATTACGCAGACATTCTGTTCGCACAGGTATCCCAAATGACAGTCCTTATCGATAGAGCATTCATGAGTAGGTATTTTGGTGATGACTTTGCAGTAGTCGTATGGATTTCCTTCGAAACCGTATGGACAGCGGCATTGGGGTCGGTGTAGGACTGGCTGACAGATAGCGTTCTGACCGCATGGTGTTTGGACAGTACAAGGGTTGACACATTTGCTATTATAACAGGCCCTGTCGAACGTACAGTCAGAATCCCTTCGACACCCGGTAATACAGTTCCCATTATCGCAAATCTCTCCCGGATTACAAGCCGTATCGCTATAGCATTGCTTCTGTACGGATACACAGTAGTGGTGTTCGCATACCTTTCCGGGTCCACAATGACTGTTCTCTTCGCACTCGTACTGAATGCTCTGTTTCTCAATACAGTGGACTTTGGGGTCGCCCTGGAAGTTGGGCGGACACGAGCACTCGGCCTTATGATTGATGCCTTTGCACAGGGAGTTGAAGCCACACGAAGTTTGCAGAGAACAGGGATCACTACATCTCCTATTAATACAGGACTTATCGAATGGACAGTTGATGTCCGCCCGACAGCCAATCATACAGCGATTCGATACACAGATTTTCTCAGAGCCACAATCGTTGTCGACATAGCATTCCTCCTGTTCGACCTGACATGAAATGGTTGGGTCGCCGGTATAGCTCTCGGGACAGCGACAGATACCATCGTGATTGATGGCAATGCACTGGGAGTTTGTGCCGCATATCTTGACATTACAGGGGTTCTGACACAACCGACTAATACAGGCTTTCGTGAAATCGCAGTCACTATTACTTCTGCAGCCATCGACGCATCGGCTGTTTTCGCAGATCTCAGTGGGTCTGCACTCGTTGTCTGAAACACAGCCCGAAATGACGGAACACTTACCCGCCTGACAGATATAGCCTATGGGACAGTCGTCATTCTTGCGACAAGTGGGCATTTCGAGGCACTGGACTTCTGGGTTGCCGGTGTAGTTGGGCGGACACGTGCACTTCGACCGGTGGTTAAATGGCACGCACTCTGCGTTCACACCGCACGCACCTCTGAAACTGCACGGACTCTGGCATTGTTGTGAATAACAGGTCATATCGAGAGCGCAGTCTTCGTCGCGTCGACATCCGCTGAAACACTTGCCTTTGACGCAGATATGGCCGACCGCACAGTCCTTATCGGCGCTGCACTCAAATCGTGTAATACATTGCCTATGAATACAGAACTTATCGATCGAACAGTCGGTATCTGTTTTGCAAGGAATGGCTTCTTGTATGGGAAGAGTGCACCGAATGATGGGATTGCCTTCGAATGGTTGGGCACACGAACAGACCGGTTGGTGGGCTTTGGGCCGACAAATAGCGTTCTCTCCGCAGACGCCGCTAAACAGACACGGATTAGTGCACTGAAGGCTTATACAACTCAGACTGTCAGCACATCCTCCATCTGATCGACAGCCGGCAATGCATTTGTAACTTTGACATATCTTTCCGGAACCGCAGTCGACATCAACGACACAATCCATTCTTCTGCAGGCAATCTTCGCATTACCCGTATATCTCGTCGGACACGAACAGAATGACTGGTGATTCACACCATTACAGATGGCATCACTTCCACAGGCCGTAGGACTGGCGCAGACGTTGAGGCACTTGCGGTTAATACAGGATTCGTGGGTCAGACACTCGATATCAGACCGACAGCCGGACATACATTTTCCGCCATCGCAGACAAAGCCTTGCGGACAGACATCATCGGTGGTACAGATAATACTGCAGAGGCTGTCGAGACACTTCTCATTGTCGAAGCACTCGATATCAGACCGGCATTGGGCTCGACATACACTCTCTTCACATCGAGAACCGATAGCACACGAGTCGCCGATCGCACCGCAAGAGGTGGTGACTCTGACGCACTCGACGTATGCGTTACCGATTGAGCCCTCTTTGCACGAACAGACCTTCTCGTGCTGACCAACACTACAGATAGCGTTAGTGCCGCAGGCGGTAGGACTGGCACAGGGATCGATGCAGAGGTTGTTAATACAGGTATCAGATGAGGCACAGTCTGAATCGGAACGACAGCCAACATTACAGGTGTTTTGAAGGCATATCTCACTGGAAGGACAGTCACGATCTTTGGTGCAATGGATATGACACCTGCCGTTCGTGCACTTCTCATCCACAGCGCAATCCTTGTTAGCGCTACAAATAGGTCGACACCTGTTATTAGCGCAGAAATGGCCCGAAAAGTGGCAATCGATGTTTGATTGACAGGCAATGGATTCCCTCATACAGCCCACGTTGGCTGTGGGCCGACCCACAAAGTTTTGAGGACAACTGCAACTGATTCGGTGATTGACGACATTGCAGAGAGCGTTGGGACCGCACGCGGCACTGCCTTCGCACGGATCCATACACTGACTTCGAGTGCAAATCAAGTGGTCATCGCATTGATTGTTAGCCCGACAGCCCGTTTGGCATCGATTTTGGTTACAGATCTCGTTGTGTTGGCATTCGTTGTCGTGTCGGCACAGAAGAGCACAGAAACCGCTAAAACACTTCTCTCCGAGAGCACAGTCTTTGTCTGATCCGCACTCGGGTTTACACCGGCCTTCCGAACAGAAGTAGTTATGCGGACAGTCGTTGTTTGAGAGACACATTCGCATAACTCGATTGCAAGTATGTTTGGCGTCGCCTGAGAAACCGGTCGGACAGCTGCACACCGGCTGATGGGATATCATATCGCAGATGGCATTCGTTCCGCAAGAGGTGGGGGTATCGCAAAGGTTTTTACAGCTATTGAGAAGACAGGCCTCCTTGAAGTGACAGTCGTTGTCCGTACGGCAACCGACTTGACATCTCTTTTGGGCGCAAATCTCTCCCGTCAGACATTCCTCATCAGTAGCGCAGCCTAAAAGGCACCGACTGTTAGAGCAGACCTCTCGGAGAGCGCAGTCTTTTTCTGAATGACAAGGGGGTCGACACCGGCCGGCATCACAAACCATTCCCGATAGACACTCTCGATCTGAGATACAAATGGGAGGTATTCGGACGCATCCTCTTCGGTGGTCGTGAGGATCACCGGCAAACCCTTCGGGACACGAACACACACTTTGGTGGCTCTCTATTCTACACAAAGCATTTGGTCCACAAGTCTGGGCTCTTTCACACGGGTTCTGACACAACAAATTTCCCGCAAAGTCAGGCTCGCAGACAGCATTGGGTGGACAGTCGGAGTTGCCGTTCGGGCATTCGTTGGGACCGCGACAACCGGGCTCTCCATATGGCGAACCGATATTCTTCTCCGCCGGACAAATGCAGTCAAAGCCTCCGATTTTGTTCTTACAAACGGCCGATCGATGACAACTGTGTTTCGCGCAATAGTTGATTGGTATACAGGCGGCCACCGGATCTCCTTCGTAGCCCTCCAGACACCGACAAACAGCTGAGTGTTGTTCAGGAGAACAGACGGCGTTATCGCCGCATATCCTCTGCTGATGGCACGGATCGACGCACTTGTACTTCGCACAGACCTGATTGTCACGACAGTCCTGATTGTCGATGCATTCAATGGGTTTACAGCCGTACTTATCATCGGTTGGATTTCCTGTAAAGCCGGGCAGACATTCACAGACAGGCGCGTGACTACGGGCTCTGCAAACGGCATTCCGGCCGCAAAGTGTGTTCTCGCAAATGTCCACACAATCCGTATGTCCCCTCTGGTCGGCCCGACAGCCCAAGTGGTCATCGCATTCATTATCTGACGAGCATTTGCTTTCAATCTTTGAGATACACTTCCAGTTAATGCAGTGATAGTCTTCGGCGCAGTCTGTGTTGGACTGACAGACCTGAACGCACTTTCCATTCTCGCAGCGCTCGTTGTTATTACAGTCGCGATGGGAACTGCAGGATATGCGACAGAAGTGGTCCACATAACAGAACTGAGATGAGGGACAGTTGTCGTCGGTATCACAGGGCAGACGTTTGCGACAGCCGGCGATGGGGTCACCGAAGTAGCCCTCTTTGCACTTACAGGTGTAGCTATGGATCTGAGGCACACATACGGCGTTATCTCCACAGGCGGTCGACGTCTGGCAGACATCAACGCATTTGTTTTCATAACAGACATCACTCTGTCTATTGCAGTCCAAACTCGTGGAACACTCGACTTTCTCGCACCGGATGTATGGATCTCCTAAGAAGTTTTGCGGACACGAACAGCGAGGCTTGTGGTGCACCGACAGACAACTGGCGTTTATCCCGCAAACGGTTGGGTCATTGCATCTGTCTCTGCATTTAGGAACTCCAGCCACGAGTATACAAGTGGCCGAATCCGGACAATCAGAGTCGCCGTTATAGCAGACATCAGGTTCGTGGCATCCGGGATGGGTGTATGCATTGCCGACCAGATTTTGCGGGCACTTACAGCTATAGCTTCCGGGAATATTGTCGCAAACGGCAGTGTTATGACACGGGTGTAGTCGACACTCGTCTACGTCCACACATATAAGTCGTCCATTATTTTCAAACCCCTGTTCGCAACGACAGGCCGCCTGTCTGTCCCGTATAACACATGTGCCGTGAGGGCCACAGTCGACGCTATCGCACGCGTTCTCGCAAAGGAAGTTCACACACTGTCTGTCGTACGGACAGTCAGCGTCATGAAGACAATCCACTTTCTGACAGCCATTCGCTCGGTTATAGGCGTCGCCCGTATAGAAGCCAATTTCAGGACACTTGCAGAGCACCTGGTGGTTGGCCACCGCGCATAAAGCGTGGGGTCCACAAGGGTTTATATCGCATGGATTTACGCATTTAGAGATACCATTGAAATCGCTACGACAGGCGGCGTTCTTCGGACAGTCAGAGTCCCCGCGCGGACACTCTCCTGGGTCTTGACATCCAGTGAATCCATCGCCAATCTCTCCATCAGAACACATACACCGATAACTGCCGGCAATGTTCTCACAAATGGCTGTTTCGTGACAGGGGTTACTGAGACACTCGTTGAGATCCACACATCCCAGCCCTGTCTTGAATTCAAAGCCGGGGACGCATATGCACTGAGTGTTGGCGCAGATCTGGTTTATACTACAGTCGCCATCCGAACGACAGCCAGGAATACAGATATGATTACTGCATACTTCAGCGGTTGGACAGTTGCTGTCACTCGAACAGGTCATCGCACAGACATTTCCTATACATTTCTCGCCCTCAACGCACTCAGCACAGGGAGCTCTGCAAATAAGTCCGTGACATAAGTGACCGACAGGACAGCCGGCGTTATCGATGCAGTCGATTATTCTTCTTCTGCAGCCCATTATAGGTGTCGGATAGCCTTCAAAGCCGGGCCCACAACTGCAGGTGAGGTTATGGTTACCCACAGAACAGATGGCATTCGGTCCACAAATACTCTTGATTTCACACGGATTTTGGCACCGGTTCTGAATGCAGGCCTGATTTGAGTCGCACTCGAAGTTGTCTCGACAACCGATATTACAGTAGCCTTTGGAAACACATGCCTCGTTTGGGGGACAGGAGTCGTGGACTATACACGCCTTGACGCAGAAGTTGTCGACACATCGCTCACCGGCCGCGCACTCAGTGTCGAGCGTACAGACGAAACGGCACTGACCGTCCACACAGGCCTGACTGTCACCACACTCTGGGTTTGACGTACAGTGGCGCGAGACTCGGGTACAACCGCCCAGAGAGTCGGCCTCTCCCTTGAAGTTATCGCGACAGCTGCAGTGGGCCGAGTGGTTGCGGGTCAGACACACGGCGTTGGGTCCGCACTGAAGGCGTTCGCACGCATTCTTACAGAGGAAGACACCGCTCGGATCCGGCAGACAGACTGCGTTTGGAGGGCAGTCTTGATTGCCGTTCGGACACGAGTTGGGATGTCTACAGCCGCGGATGTTCTTGTCATATGGGTCTCCGATATAATCGGGCGGACATTTGCAAGTGTAGGAGCCATGCGAGTCAATACATTGGGCTAAAGGATGGCATGGATTCGATTCGCACAGATGTACGGCCACACATCCGGATGCGTAGGGATCGCCCGCATAGCCAGACAGACAGCGGCAGTTAGGACTGTGCGCCTGAGCCACGCAAACGGCATTAGCGCCGCACCCGTTGATACAGGGGTCGAAACAGTAGTTCTGATTACTACAGGCCTTGTTGTCGGCACAGTCGTGGTCTTTAATGCACTCGACTCGACGGCACCCTTTGCTCTGGTCGTATGCGTTCCCAGTGTAGAGCCCGGTCTGTGGGCACCGACACTCTGGTTGTCTGTTAATCATAATACAAACGGCGCTTTTGCCGCACTCGAAGTGAGCGCAACCGTCAACGCACTTACGGATGCCATTGGCGTCGGGATGACAGACATCGTTAGAGTTGGTGCAGTCGATGTCGGTGTCGCATCCATGGATGGGAATCTGGACACAACCAGCTCTGCTTTGAGGGTCACCAGTGAATCCGGGGTCGCATTTGCACTGACCCTTGTGTTGCAATGAAATACACCGGGAGTTTGGAGTGCAGGTGAAGTCAATACAGGCTTCGGCGCACTTGAGAGACCCGAATGGACTCGATCTGCAGGTCTCGAAGGAGGGGCAGTGAGAGTCCTGATTGCATTCATTGGCCTTTGGTTTGCAGACGGCGTTCTGGTCTCTAACGAAACCGCCGATGCATTCACAGAAAGCCGTGTGATTGGAGGCCACGCAATGAGATCCTGTTCCGCAACTCGTGAACTGACACGCGTTGAAACACTTCTTGAGGCCGTCATTCATGGGTTTGCAGACATCTGTGGGTTCGCGACAATCGAAGTCGAACTCACAATCGTTGGTCTCCTTTCTTCGACATCCGTTCAGCACATTCTCGGGGTCTCCGATATAACCGGACAGACACAGGCATTGGGAGCGATGGTTGACTGCTTTGCACTGAGCGTTGGGTCCACACGTGACGGCTTCGCACACATCGACACAATCGAGAATTCCGGACACAGTTTGACGACAAATCTGAGAGGAGTGGCAGTCGACGTCAGACTCGCACACATTGCGTCGGACGGGTTGACAGCCGTGGATGAGATCATAAGCATCGCCATCGAATCCGGAGGCGCAGAAGCATTGAGTCTTGTGATAAGAGGGCCGACAGATCGCGTTTTTACCGCATTTGACGTAAAGGCAAGCGTTGGCGCACTTGCGAGTGTTGGCCACATCCGTACGACAGACACTATCGATAGGACATTCCTCATCTGATTTGCATTCATCGGGATCGACACACATGTGGGTGGGGTCGCCAACGAAGCCCTGTCGACAGGCGCACTGAGCCCTATGGTTAGTGGCCGCACATATGGCATTCTCCCCGCAAAGGGAGTGTTCGCACGCGTCCTTGCATTGGTTGATGCCTTGAGGGCCCCGAACACAGACAGCATTGGAGGGACAGGTGTCGTCGCTATCGCACTCGTGAGGCATATGATAGCAGCCAACGGTGCCGTCGCCGGGTCTGCCGGTGTAGCCCTCTTTGCACGTGCACTGAACGAACTGGTTGTTTGTGGCGCACAGAGTGTTGGGTCCGCAGAGGTTAGTACTGCAGCCGTCGACACAGTCTCTGATCCCGCTTTGGGTCAGTTGACAGACTTCAACGGTCTTACAGTCGGTATTCGATGTGCACTTGTCTTTCGGCGAACAACCTCTCAGTAGGTCTTCAGGACTGCCAAAGAATCCCTGTTTGCACTGACAATGTGCCTGATGTTCAATAGACACGCACTGGGCGTTGGGTCCGCATCTGAAGGTCTGACACACGTCCACACAATCGAGTACTCCTTTGCGGGTTGTCGTACAGGTCTGGTCTTCCCGACACTCCCTATCCGATTGGCACAGATTAGGAGCGCAGGCACCGGTAGGGTCACCACTAATGCGAGTATAGCCCTGAAGACACTCACATTGAGGTCTATGGTTTCTGCCGACACAGTGAGCGCCTTCACTACAAGACTGTCCGAAACAAATGTCGACGCAATCCCTGATGTTTTCATTCGTGAGAATACACTTCTTGTCGTGAGAGCACTGGTCGTCTCTATCGCACAGATGTTCCGGTGGTTTCTGACAGCTTCTGATGGCATCGCCAATAAAACCGGGCAAACATTCGCAGACTGCCTGATGGCCTCTTCCTGCGCAATGGGCGTTCAAACCGCACCTCACATTCAGACAAATATCGGTACAGTTTTTGAGCCCGTTTTGCATTCGCCGACAGGCCTGGGAGTCCGGACAACTGGTATCGTCAGCACAGCTCACTTGTAAGGGCTGACAGCCGAAGCGCTGGTCGTAAGCGTCACCGGCAAAGTTGGGTCGACACTCGCAGTACGGCGCATGGCCTGCGCCCCGACATACGGTGTTTATACCGCACTGGAAGTCCTTACAGACGCTCTGGCAATCTCTGAAGCCTTGAGGCAGAAGAACACACGTCTCGTCTGGTCTACAGTCGCCATCTTCGCGACAAAGCGGGGGATTACAGCCCTTCTGGAGGTCGTATGGGTTTCCATCGTAATTGTCATTACAATTACATTCAGGCCGTCGTCCCATTGCTTGACACATGGCATTGGGTCCGCATTGAATGCCAGCGCATACATCACCGCAACGTTTTTCCCCTTCCGTTGATTGTTTGCAAACATATCCATCGGCGCAGTCGTCGTCTACGGCACAGCTGACTATCGTGGGAGCGGCTGTTCTGGACGTACATCCCTTTTCGAGGTCGTGGGGGTCACCCGAATGGGCGTCTTTGCAGTAACAGAAAGGCTTGTGTTCAGTACTAATACAGTAAGCATTGGGCCCGCATTGGGTGGTATCGCACGGGTCGACGCACTGGTATCCGATATCTTTGTTCACGTAATTACAGGCGTTGTTAGTCTCGCACTGGGAGTCGTGTTTGCAAGCGTTGGGCTGAGCGCATATGCCTCGGAAACATACGGCGCCCGTCGGACAGTTGAATGTCGTCGAACACGACGTCCCAATACCACTGATCTGGTCTTCGATGCCGGCCTCCCGTGGGGGCTGACAGGCGTACAGAGGATTACCGATGAAACCGGACGGGCAGATGCACTGGAAACTTCCGATGACATTCACACAGTTGGCTCCCGTTCCACAAGGATTTCCCTGAAGGCATTCGTTGACGTCTTCACAGCCGAGGAATGGGTTTCCATGGAGACCGGCCGGACAAATGCATTCAACACTCGTCGCCCCCTCCAAGCAGGAGGCGCTCTGACCGCAGATTATATTCTCACATCTGGGCACTGATGTACACGACTTGTATGGGTTCCCACTGTAGCCTGAATTACAAACACACTTATTGGGTGTGGAGTACGTGCAGTGGGAGTTCAGACCACAGCCGGGGCTACAGGTGGGAGGTGTAGGCAGAGGAGGTGCGCACAGAATGTCCGGATTTCCGACAAAGAACGGCAAACATTTGCATTGATTGGTGTGAATCTCGCAAAAAGCTCCGACTCCGCACTGTTTGTCACTACAACTCTCGACACACTTCCCGCCAATGCATTCCTGACCCGAAAGACACGGCTTAGTGGCTGAACAGCCGGAGTCTGGATGACAGCCGCCACCGGCCCAGGGGTTGCCATTGAATCCCGACATACACTGACAAACGCCGATATTCTCACTGTTGACAATGCACTGGGCGTTGATACTGCACCACACGTTAGTACAGGGGCTGATGCAACCCTGGATTAAGTCGTTGGCGTTTCCAGTGAAACCGGGTTTGCATTGACAGCTCGGCTCATGGCCTACGGATATACAGTCAGTGTTGGGGCCGCATATGGCTGACAGACACGCGTCGTTACAAACACCCGCCTGTCTGTCGCACACCGTGTCGTCCGGACAGGAGAGGTCTGATTCACACTTAGCGGGTCCGAAGCATCCGGAGTGGTAGGGATCGCCGTCTGCCCCCTGAGGGCACTCGCATTTATAACTTCCCAATACATTGACACAAATGGCAGACACAGCGCACGGGCCGTTCGGGTCGATGGGTAACAGAGACGTGCATTCATTTATATCTACCAAAAGTAACACAAGTGTCAGTCAATCCATACTTTCTTACAGTTTATGAGTTATAGACGGTGTTACATACCATGACATCCAGTATTGGCATTTCCAGTACAGCCAGGTTTACATCGGCATTGGGTGCCATTGGGACCCAAAGAGCACTCAGCGTTCTGACCGCATTGATGCCAATCACACGGGTCTTCACATAAGACAATATAAATTATTAATAATCTATGAATGAATTAATGAGAAAACAAATATATAACTTACGTTTACAGGTGTCTCCGACCTGAATGAATGGCGGTAAACACTCACACCATTTGCGGATACATTTCTGATTTGTGGGGCACTGGCCGTCTTTTTCACACGATTGATCTGTCATTGTATTAATAATGGTGACAATTATAGTGACAATGGTTTACAAGACTAGTTCTCAATACTCACATATTCTTGTGCACCCTTTCTTGCCAACCCCTGAGAATCCCGAACCACATAAGCACTCGTAAGCACCGGGAAGATTGATGCACTCGGCGTTAGAGCCGCACAATTCAAATTCATTCATTTCCTCGCATTCATTGATGTCTCGACAGAAGCCATTGGCCTCTAATGTGAACCCTTTCGGACAAATACAATATCCATAACCAGAACCGGAAATAATGCATTCTTGGTTTTGGGGACAGGTATTCAGTGTGGAACAGTTGCGACTCATCACTGGATAATATTGAAGCAAAGTTTATAATATGCATACATATAATGAATTAAATTGAATATTACATATGCAATAATCTCCTTCTCTGACATATGGTGTCTGACATCCGCAATGTCTGCCATCATATGGATCATCGATACAAACAGTATTTCCCGGACATTCTCTGTCTTTCTCGCATTTCATCACTATTTGAATCAATCATTACAATGAATTAATTAGTCATAAATATATAGTGATTGCATAATAGCGCCCACACTTACAGTCAGGATAGCAAACCGAATAGGAGTTGCCGGTGTATCCGCTCGGACAGTGACAGACAAAGCCTCCGTCCAGGTTAGTACAGAAGGCATTGAGACCACAGGCAGATTTGGTCAGTTCCGTGCACTCGTTCACGTCTGTAAGCAATTACACAACTTATTAGGCACTCAAATGTGTGTCAATTAGAAATTATGTCAAACCTCTGCACTGTTCGCCCACCGCATCCCTTATGTAACCTCTCCTACAGACGCACTGATGAGTCCTATTAGTGGTAATGCATTCCTCATTGAGAGGACAAGGATTACTGTCGGAGCAGTCGATTCTTTCTTTGCCTAATTTGTAACAAAAATGTAATTTATTTTAACATTATTTCATAAGCACTAGAATTGAATTGATAACATACCTTCAATAGAGCACTCGGAATAGGGATCACCTCTGAAATTATGGGGACAAATGCATTCATAAGAACCGGGAGTATTACGACAGACAGCGTTGTGTCCGCACGGCTTGTTTGCCACACATTCGTCAATGTCTTGAAATTAATAATATTTATCAGTGAGTGATGAGAATATTTCAAAGATATTAAAGTGAGATTAGAAATGAAATGATAATAATTTTCTGTGAGATAATTACCGACACAACCGGGAAGACTATTACTCTTTCCAATATAGCCCTCAGCGCAGACACACAGAGGGTTACCACTGGAATCCAATTCACACTTCGCGTGTTCGCCACAGAATAGTTGATCGCAAGGGTCTAAGTGTTTGACAATTAATTCATTAGTCATGAGAACTAATGGATTGAAAGGATTGAAAGAATGTGACGAATGAACTCACGTTTGCAACTCTCGCCGAAGTAAGGCGGCGGACAAACGCACCGATTGGTCTTACAAACGGCATTCCCTGAACAACCAGTCTTCGCATCACAGAAGGTCTCGATCACACATCGGGTGAACGGCTCGCCATGACTTCCAGGAGGGCACCGACAGCTGAAACTGCCGATTGTATTCGTACAGACGGCAGAGAAACCGCACTTTCCGTTCGGTCCAAATACTTGAGAGCATTCATTGATATCTACGCATTTGTCTCTCGCATTACCAGTGAAGCCCTGGGGGCACGAGCACTGGTATGTGCCCAATGTGTTCGCGCAAATGGAGTTTTCGCCGCACTGTCCGAATGGACCGAACCGTCGGTCGCATTCATTAATGTCTTCACAATAACGGAACGGATCGCCAGTAAATCCTAAAGAGTTAGGCAAACACTGGTTGAGTTCAGGAGTTCAATGGATGGGAGGGATATAGGGAGAGAGAGGGATGGAAAGGATGGATACCTGGTTGGCAGTGGCAGTGATGACTTCCGAGCACATTAGTGCAAACAGCTCCCTGTCCACAAAGGCCTGATGGGCCGTGACTAGAGTCGCATTCGTTTATGTCTATAATTATGATGAAAATGTATTTAGAGATTACACGAGAACTCAGAGATTAAGAGTGAATGAGTTTCTAGCGTGAGGTCACTGACCGACACATCCCAGCGCTATGTTGTTTGGATCGAAAGTGAAGCCCTGATCGCAAACACAGGCGGCTTCCATGCCATTCACCTGACAGTTAGCGTGCGATCCGCAGTTTACACCATCGCAGGGAGCTGTAGACAAGGGGACAGGGGTTTCGTTGAAGTAATTAATAGAAAAAATAATTAATTACAGCAAATTGACTCACATTTGCAACCAGTGGTGGCGTTGCCAATGAAGCCGTCCTTACAAAGACATTTGTAGCCGCCGTCTGTGTTAATACATTTAGAGTTGACTCCGCACGGGAACGGACCGAAGAGGCACTCATTAGCGTCTCTGCACCGGCTCTTAGACGTCAACTCAATCTTCTCATATCCAGACCGACACTCGCACTCATAGCCGCCCTCCGAGTTCACACATTTGGCATTAACGCCGCAAATATTCCTATTCTTGCATTCGTCTACATCTGAGACAACCATAAATTCATATTAAATATCAATTAAATAGCAAATGAAATGCAATGCAAATGAATACCAATGCACTCAATGCCACTGATTTGATAACCGATTTTACATCGACACGAGTTGTCGACACAACCGGCGTTTTCGGTGCAGTCAAAGTCAAATTTACACGACACGTCCACAGCCGCCCGGTCGCAGCCCAGGTCTGGTGTGCCTCTCGCCACGTACTTGTCCGGGCACTGGCACTGGTAGGAACCGGCGGTGTTGAGACAATCAGCGCCTGAACCGCACGGATTCTGCAGACATTCATCGATATCTATGCGACGATCGCAGAATCACAAGACTGTGAAACACTAAACACTTTTAAATTGATAATAAATGTAAATACCGGCGCAAACAAGCCCTGGATCTCCTGTGTAACCGACACTACAGATGCACTGATATGAACCCAATGTGTTATAGCACTCAGTGTTGAGACCGCAAGAGTTGGGACGAAGGCATTCATCGTCGTCTGGAAAGCAATGTTTTGTACAGTTTTTCAATCAAATATTGTATCCCTAATTGAATTCTGATTGAATTGTATGAATGACTGCTTACCGATACAACCGGCTGATAGGTAGGGGTCGCCAATGAAACCCGGCTTACATTCGCATAAATAGCTTCCGAGAGTGTTCTGGCAGTGAGTGTTAGCACCGCATGAATGCGGACACTCGTCGACGTCTATTGTAAGCCATAAGGCATTCAATTATTATCTCATATTGTATTTGATTTGCATTAATAGACTTGTGTTTAGTCTATACACTCACCCAAACAACTGACTTTCGGATTACCGGTATATCCTGTTTAAAAAATACATAGAAAGAGTTCATAATTATCTCCAATTTCGTAAATCAAGCGTTTACTACATTTTTGGCATTAATTTGGAAATTAATTAAAAATCATTTTAAAATTCAGAGAAAATTTGTACTAAATATGTGTTTAAATCGGGTTTTTCTCACTTTCCTCTAATCTATCATTTTTACGGTTCAGACGTTAATCAATAAAAATATGTCTTTTATTTTCATATATTATTCAATTTGAGTAAAGGATTCATTCATCAAAATTTCAATCAAATTATAAATTCTATACCGAAATACAGAATATATTGAAAATCAATTCGTGTGAAAGAGTTTCACATTCTTTTGATACACTCTCTCTTAAAACATTATTAAAGTATTATTTGAAAACATTTTATAACAACTGAATGATTGGAATTTTTTCCTATAATAAGACTATTAATATTGCAAATAATAACTCAAATCTATGTTCTGGTAATTTGTATAGAAAATAGGATTTGAAAACTTTATATTATATAATATATTAGTTTTTATGTGTGGTTTAGGTTTTTGTGCTGTAAGTTCCAGTGAACTGTTGGGTCGTTTGATTGATGAACATATTTGGCAAAAAATATAGAAAATATAGAGAAAAATAGAGACATTCTTCGAGAGAAGTGCATAAAAATCTCTATTCATTTCAATGGAGACCCCCTGACGTTAATTCTCACTATTTTCTCATAAAATAATACATGAATTCATTTCTGGAATTTCATCAAAACGTATGCTTTAGTTATCATTTTTGATATGATATATAACTTTCTATTCTAGGCTTCACATCAAAATAGTAATAAGATTTTGAAGTTAACATAAATACCATATAATTAAATGTATGGCAATGTTTTAAACGCACGGCTAATATCTATATAAATGGTTTGTGTGGACTTCACTGATCACTGATTGAGTCTTAAATAAGTATTAAACAAATTCTGTTTCTCTCAATCCTATAATTTTGGTTTCATTTCTTTTAATATTTGCTGAAGTATTTCATATCAAATCAAATCGATTTGAAATACATGTGTAATGATTGCCAGTGACTGCCAGTGAATAATGTAAATACTGAACATTTAATATGAAATGCCTTACCTGTAGGGCACTGACAGAAGTGACCTCCAGGTGTGTTGACACAATTGGCTCCAACTCCGCAAATAGGTGTTGGGCTGACTGTGCACTCGTCCACATCGACACAGCCATCGGCGGGCGTAGGATTGCCTCTGTATCCAGAAGGACACGAGCACTCGTAGGCACCGGGAGTGTTGGTGCACTGAGATCCCGGACCACACGGGTTGGTCTTACATTCGTCGATATCTGGTATTGGAAATGTTTGGGACGACAGACAATATATGAGAACATATTCTTTGGTGTCATACAAGTGCTGGCAATGTGTGAAAGTAATGCTAAATATTTTGTCAATTGTATGCAAACAATCATAAAAATTCATATTTTTACGGATATGTCTATATGTATGTAATGTATTCATAATTCAGTGTTGAGTTGAGAGGCAATAAAGTGTCGGAACAAAAAGTTTTAAAGTTTGATGTGAAAGTGCAGCCAAGTTAAGCCCAAAATAAGACAAGTGTTTAATTTCGCAATCATTTGAAAAACTCGAACCATTAAAGTATTGGAGTCAACGAAAAATTTAGGAGAGAGAGAGAGAGAGGGAGAGAGAGAGAGTATGGGGTATGTGATATAGCCTTAGAGTTTCGTTTTTGGTGGTGAAAAACCTGTACTTAACCTTAACATAAAATATTCAAAATATATATTAAATAATGATTACTTTTATGTATTCATAACTCAAATGCAGTGCATTCTCTCTATTGTAAAGAACTTGTTCTCACTATTAATTCAATATAAGAATACCCTATAATTAAAACCTAAAGAATTGTAGCGAAAATTTGGTTTTTGTTGAAAAATAAGGGTTCAAATAATTAATGAAGTCTGAAGTCTGTTATGATAATACAGAATACTTTATGAAACTATCGTTTTTTAAAATATTCACAAATATTGAATGACTGAATCTTATGGACAGAGCGCTGTTATTATGTTCTCAAACAAAAAACATAAAACAAAAAACAAGTTTATTATACTATACGTGAATTAACTACAAGTAATATAGCGGTCAGACCACTCGGCCTGTGAGAGCTGTTACTCAAGTCATATAATTGTTTGATTATAACCTAAACTAATATATGAATCGTTTGAAGTGACTGTTTATGCAACTGATAGTCGTTGTTAGTCCCGACTGAACATTAGTTAGACTTTGAAGGTATCGGAGCTGTTATTTGTTTCATAAGTTATGGTAATAGCGGTGTGAATGCAAACATGACTCCACGACTCACCCCAACATTCCACGGCTGGATCGCCTTCAAAACCCAGTGGACAGTGACAGACATGACTGCCCGGAAGGTTCTCACATATGGCTCCCCTTCCGCAACAGCTCGGATTGAGACACTCGTCGATGTCTTAATGGCAGAAATTATATCAGAATTAATATATAAATATAATAAATACATAGCATTTGTGTTTTAATCAGGTTTTATGACAGGAGTGACAAATAAGGTATTATCAAAAATGAAAGTTTCAATCAAACGAGTTATCTCGACATACCTGTGCAGGAAACGGTCGCATTGCCTGTGAAGCCAGGTTTGCATTTGCAAACAAAGTGACCTGGGAGGTTACAGCACTCGGCGTTATCCGCACACAGACCTGCCAGCGATGGGATCTCACATTCGTTGATGTCTGTGTCCGATGGGAACAGTCACTCATTAATTCATTTAACATTAAATTAACGGTTAAGACAGTCTCTACAATCTCTACTTCTACTCATTAATTCATTTAAATCATTAATGATCCACAACTCTCTCTCTCTCTCTCTCTCTCTCTCTCTCTCTCTCTCTCTAAGTTTAAGTTTAACTCTTCCTTAAGTTCTTTCTTAACTACTGTTTTCTCGACTCATTCTTCAAGCGAATGCAGCGATTAATTGCTTTCTAAGTCTAATTAACTACAACTCCTAACTTATCTCACAGTAAATAAAGTTTTGTATAAAAAACTTAATAACAAATATAAGTGTCAATCAAACTCTTATTAGAGAAAAGGTATTCTTATAATTCAATACAACAATAATTATACAAACCATGACATGAAAAGCCGTCGCCATCGTAACCGGGAAAACAGGAACAGTAATAACTACCCATAGTGTTGGTGCAGTGGGCGAACACATCGCACGGACGGTATTTACACTCGTTTTCATCTATAATTTATAACATATATTAAATTATGGACTCTTTTCGGCCCTTATGTCAGAAGCATCTCAACAAAAGGCCGAATAGAGGCTCACAAAGAGCCACTTGTGAACATTGTTGGGCACAGGCATGTCATACCTGGGAGGTCACATCCTTTGCCACCGAATCCATCGTTACAATAGCAGAGGCTGTCTAAACAGACGCCATTCAAACACTTTGGCATTTTTGGGTGGCAGTGATCTATAAGATGTCACAAAAACAAACAAACAAACAATTGAAGACAAATTCTGGTAATCCATGTCTGGGTTTAGGGACGAGAAGACACTCACTTCTGTCGGTGCACTTGAGCTCCAACGACACCTCATCGGAGCCCTGAAAACACTGCGGTATTCCATCACAAAGTTTGGACAATTCAAACAGTTGTAGAAAGTCTGTCGATTCGTTCACTTGACAGCCGAAGTACCCGTCCTCGAGGTTTAGGAGGAATATCTCCCTCTGAACGTAAGGAGAGGGCCATTTGGGCCTATACTGCGCCCAACATATACTCGTTAGGCTCAGCACCCATAACAGCCGCAACACCAGCCCTTTCACTGATGCCATCGCATCTGTTAATTAAGTTCACGGGAATTGGTTTAGATTTAATTATTTCTATATTTATATCACTTTTCACTACAATAACCGAAAGTATGTTAACAAATAAAACGATGAAAAGTAAGAATTGATGTCAAATAAAATAAATAATCAATTCATTTCAGTGTAAAAACTTGTTCGCCAATTGATTTAAATTAAAATGAGTTTTCACTTTCCGAGTCATTAGTAAATTAATATACAAAATATGGTTTAATTGAATAAAATGTAACAGTTTTTTATCGTCTCGTATAAACTCATAATTATTTCATTTGAGATGAAAAGTGAGACAAACATTTAGTTGCGATATTCTATTAGAGCATAACTACTGTTAAACTGAATGCAAGGAATTATAAAAAACGTTTAATCCATTTATGAATCGTCCAAATCAGGTAACCTTAAAGAGTGCCTACTATTGATTGAGGACTACGATTGTGATGAAGTGTAGGCGCGATTGAGGCGGTGAAGACCAATAAACAATTTATTGAGCACAAGGGCAGCACAGCATCGGTATTAACAATACGGCTTACAATGTGTGGAGAAATGGTTAATCAGAATGCCGTACAAATCAGATGTTATGTGATTTGATTAAGTTATATGTTATATGAATGAATGAGTCAATAATTCCTGAATACATTACCAATCAGTTTTAATTACAAATTTACTTTTATGTCATTAAAATGAGAGATATTTTTGAATTATGTATTAGATTTATTCAAAACAACTAACAAATTGGAGAAACGTATTGACAAATAGGAGTGAAATGTTGAGACATTGAGAGTGTGTGTCAAAGATGTTAGAGACAGGCCTAATGTAATGGTTAGTTGGCTTTTGTCGGTCAATAATCTTTATATACTAAGAGAGACTAAGAGAGAAGAGACTCAAGAATTTGAGAGATTGATTGAAAAGCTTTAACAACAGTTAGATTCATAGAAATATTTACGATACGCCGGAAGCCATGTTCCTATCATTGCTTATGGGATCGACTTAAACGAAATTTTTTAATTTCTCCTAAACTGGTACTCAATATTAATTTAAAGTATTAATCGAAAGGTTATAAATATTTTTTAATACTAAACTTTCATCAGTTTAATGATATGTTTGGACTTGAAATCAATTCGTAAAACATATACTTTTGAGAAAAAGTTTTTTGAGAAGAAAAGTAGTTTGAAAAATATTGTACACAAATTGGCAGAGAAGACCTGAATTACAATATATAGCCGAAGGAGTCTAAGAGGTCTGGTCTCCGGTTTAATTGATTTGCAATTTTCCGTTTCGATAGACACTCTCTCTATGGAAATAATAATAAGAAAATAGAGAGAATGGAAAGACAGGAGCGATGGACCCCCGACTCCACTCTATCTGTCATTTGGTGTCTGAGACAAGTGAGACAAACACAGACTTGTGATGACAGATAGGGTTTAGGAATGAAGACATTTTTATGACAGACTCGGAAAGTGATTCAATAATTGAATTGTGCTTTAAATAGCTATGATATCACTGGCAACAAGTGTTTGGTCGCCATTATCTCCAAAATAGTTGCATCTGTTCTTCAAACTCATGTATTGTATTGTATTTCAAACACAATATAAGACTTTAATTAATAGTCGAAAGAGTTTAGAGAAGTTTGAAAGCAGTTTCGGACAAACAAATGGCAAATACTTACTCATGAGTTGCTGTTCACATGTATTCCATCACTATTTGAGTGAAAATTTGGTCGATTATCACAAAAATGTAAAATAATATCAAATAATTGAATTGAATTGAGTCGAGTGGAGGACTGGCAGGTAATAGGACTGGCAATGACTGCGTCACTAAACACTGTTTGCATCGAAACTCTGGTAAAAAACTGGCAAAAGTGTTGTGTAGTGAGGACTGGGAGTGAGGACTGGAGTGAGGAAGTCGTCCAACCACTTTCCAACTCCGATATCAATGCCTGTATTGCCTGAATGTTGTATAAGAATTACCTGAGCTCTCAATCGTTAACCTGCGGGCGAGTACCACGTGATGGCACAGGAGATCCAATGAAACAAAAATCCAACAAAATTACCAAAAGAAGCCTTAATATCATTGTATTGTGTATACGCTATACCTGTATACCTGTATGTGTAGGTATGCCATACATGCCATACAAAAATACATACAAATGCATACAAACTCTATGCAACCCTATTCACGCTATGCAATGCTATCGTAATGCCATGTAATTCAATGCAATGCAATGCAATGCTAGAATATCTGGTATACCTGGTATACCTGTATACCTGTCAGGTGCAACGGCTTCCCAATAAGTGGAGGTGATTCGCCTATCCTCTTATCCCCTTATCCCCCATCCCCTCAATCCAACCTCAAAAAATTTAGTACCATTTTTCAAGTTTTATGAAAAAAGTGAATGTTATCTCATATGAGAGCCGCTCAGGGATGAGAGAAACAGATACTCCAGTGTTCAGCAAAAGACCATTTGCCACAAACACACTAATAGTGGCTCCAAATAATTTGCTTGTTATCAGTGCTCTCAATGTCTGTCTCGAAATACCGATCCTCTCATGTCGTGTCCGAACACATTATGTTTTACACTATGGTTACACTATTAGGCCTCACATATCATATCATATCATATGATAAATTGTTTTCAAATACATTTAATATTAAAAACCATATAAAAGAAAGAATTTTCTACTCAAAGAGAGAAAGGGGTTGTTTTGAGTGAATAGTTGTTTGATTAATAATTAGATATAATTAGAGATGAAGTGAATGAATATTTGTTTGGATTTCCTGTATTTGTGTATTTAATTGGTTAGCATTAGAACATAGTATGCATTCTTAGAGTGTATTCTTTCATACATTAGTATGTATTCATGTATTCATGGAGTGCTCTAATGGTAACGAATGTGTAATTGTTTGTTGAATGTGAGGGTCGAGTGAAGACAAGTCACGATCATTGAGCCAATGCTACAAATGTTGGTTTTGCACCAATGGTTCAGCCAATCGTATCTCTAATTGTTATTAAATTATGCTTTCATTTAAATACTGACTGTATGTAATGTACAGTAAATGTTATGTTACGTTACGTTATGTTAAGTTATATACAGTAAGAATAGGAAAAATATAAGAGTCATTATTATTGATAAAATCGTATTACAAGACGTAAAGACTAACTGAGAGCGCATTTCTTTGGCAGTGATTTGATTGCATTAACGATAGTGTAATGATTGGAGTCATAACTGTTGAGAAAATAAAATTTTAATCAAATGTTGACATATTATAAGGCGAATGACATAACGTGGAAGAGAAATGTCTTTTTCACTCACAAATCATTAGTGAAACTAATATAAAGTCATTATTGGTCTCTATATTCCGGATTCACCGGCAAACACATAACGCATAGACCGGCATAGACTCCCACATTATACTGTATAGCAAACCATAAGAATTTTAATGTTTTATGTATGCCTTCGGGCCCTTTCGATAATTAAAATAATAGTCGAAACACTTTTCCTATTGCTTACAGTTATATACAGTACTTTAGGCAGTAGTATACAGTGTATAAGCCTTTCCCTACTGTATACCTGTATAATACAGCAATCATTTATCAAAAATTTAATGATTTCATTGACTGAAATAATTGATAAAAGAGTTAGACATCTGAACAGACAGTTAGTAATTATATTGAAATGATATTCGCTTACAGTTATAGATTTCAACCATATTCTCAATCTGTTCTTACTTTCCATACCATCTATGCTATTGTATGCTATTGTATGCAATACTCAACACTCGAGTGGAATAACAATAAAAATTAAATAAATAGCGAATAAAAAGAGTGAAAAATAAAATATAAGAAAATTCAATATTTGAATGAAATTCATGTCAAGAGATCTCATTAGAGGACCACAAGAAATGGTTCGCAAAGACTTGAACTGTAAGTGAGGGGCAATCATCGAAATTACCAGTTTTTGACTGATTTGTCTGATTTGCCACAAGATTTCAAAGACTTATGCATTTCTGTTACTGTATGTCGTCTCTTGAGAAATTGGTTTACATTTTGCGAATCAATTTACGTGTCATTCAAGAACTCTTGAGCTATAATTTTATAAACTTTTTTCTCCACTCCGTTGGCAGGGATTCTCTCTCAACAAACAAAAAAACGATTCAAATACTCAAAAAATGAACTCAAATTTAATAATTATTTTTTTGTGAAAATATTTGCGAGGAAAGGGCTATAAAATATTTGTAAATTATTAGTGAGAATCACTTTTACACGCATTTTGGGGTCCAAATGCATAATATTTGAATTTATATCGATAAAGATCTCATAAATAGCCCCAAATCTGGTTTCACTCATAAATCTTAAATAAGACATATCATAGCCCTTTAAGATCCTCTCAAACATCTCTCAAATATCTTTTAAACTCTTTCTCTTTCTTTCTGATCCTTTATATTCTTGTTGTTGGCCTCAGATTTCAGGTTCTCTTTTGAAGTCTTAACACAAGAATAACATTATTTTAAGAGTTAAAGTCTATAAGAGTTGTAAATACGAGTCAATTATTCAAAGCATTTCAAAATATATGTAAACATCAAACCAATTGTGATGTCTGTCATCGATTTGATTGTTGTGTTTGAACATCACTTTACAAGACATCGAGTGCTGAAATGGCAAACTTCCTGCTCACCGATCCCTTAAATTCTTGATCCCAGAGCTAGTGATCTCCACCTCTGCTATAAATATTGACTTTTGTGAATAAAATATGAAAACTTAATGAAACAAAACTTAATATAACTTCGCTTTTGATGAAAACATTTCGTTTTCTCTCTATTCAAACATCAATTAATGGAAAGACATTAAGAATTGAATACAAAATTCTTTTCTATGATTTGCTTTTCATTACCTTTTATTAAGAGTTCGTTATTTTTAGCCAAAGATTTCATTCCTCGAAGTTTCTTTACCTTTATGTCTCGGTTTAGTATTAAAAGGATTTATTAATACAAATAAAAATAATTTTCGGCAATAAATTCAACTCAACTTTCGTTTTGGTTTTACTTTCACTAATAATAAGTTATTTGTTTAATGACTTTAATTAATCCCTAAATTGAATGAATAGTAAAGTAAAGCCCTTTTAATGTAATTTTTAAAATATTTATGACTTTATGGCAAAAAGAATTTGTCGAATAATTATTTATATTAAATACTGTATATTCAAGCCATCAATGTTTGGGATAATATATTTTTAATGCTATTTTGAGTTATAGTCATAAATATTTTTATAATAAATTATAATTTTATTGTTCACAAAGATTATTGTAGTATTCGATAGGAATAATGGTTTAGAGAATGTATTTCTTTTATTTGGTTGAGTAATGCAAAAACGATAACCATTTGTATGTTTCACTCACCCCTTGTCTCCGCACACAACTTATGTAAACTTAAGCCCTAAACCCTAAACAACTTTCCCTACCATTGATGGCTAATATCTATAATTTGAATGTACTTTCAATTTGAAGTCATACACAACTACTCACTACTGAATACCGAATAACTAGTAATTATTGCTTTGCTATGAGAACTCGCATTCGGGTTATTGTTTCACAAATATCGCCAAAAATATATAACAATAAAATAGTTAACAAACGAAAGGACGTCTTAATCCCTTTATAATTGCCGGTAAATGACTGATTTGTTTTTAATATATTTTGATTGCACTCTCACTGTGAGGCACTTTACCGAGAAATGAATGAATGAATATTCATATGAATTATATATTAATACAATTCAATGTCAACAGTGGAGACATTGATCTTTAAATCACTCATTAATGTGTTTTACGGAGAAAAACACGAATAAAAAGATAAGAAAATATTTTAATAACTTTAAAATCACTTTAAAGGGAGAAAATAATTTAATGACTCTTTGCTCATCGACTCAAACTGTTAGTGAGCATTAAATTCAAATATTTAATGTTGTTATTATTGTTATTAAATAACGGAATTTATTAACTTTTATGTGAAAACATGTTTTACTTTTCCCAATGAAAATATTTTCTGTCAAACATTTTAATGGTGTATAAAATTTCTTCTTATTTTTCACCATTTCTTTAAGCAGTTATTCCCGACTCTTCTCATGGAAAACATACAAATTTTCGCTTCATTTTTATCTGATTTCCAAAAGGGCTTCGTTTCCGTCAGATTTGTCTTTATTTTTGGAGTCAAACAAAATCTGATCTCAATTTTTACATGAAAATAATTAATTAAATATTCGCTGAACACATAGAGCTATTGAACACAGATTTAGTGAATAGTAAGTGGTTTTGAAAAGAGGAAAGTATTCAAGAATGCCATTCAGTCTTCACAACAAATTATTCTCAAAAAACATAATCTCTTTGAAGAAAATATTTTTTCATTTATTATTATTTATATGTTTATGAATAGTATGTATAATATAAAAGAAAGAAAAATTTTGGCTAACGTTTTGGGCACCGGTATGAATACCACTTGCGTTCATGTAATTAAAGTTTAGGAACTGTTTGAGGGATGAGTTTTGTATTTAGAAAATATAATTCAAAGAATAATTTATTTGTTTTTCATAACTATTCTCTAATCTAAACATAAGTTATAATCAGAACATATAATGTGTTATAAATTAAAATCAGAAACAAAACAAAAAGTGAATTTTTTTTGAAAATTCCTGAAATCAATGATTATTTTATGCAATCGTTTTCATTGAATTATTCAAAAACTCATACGGTATATACAGTACATCTAATACTGTAATATTATAAGTGTAGTTCAAATGGGTATTCATTTCATGTCTAATCTCAACCCATATTCAGCCAACAAGTTTTCAGCACAAAAATAATATACATTTCTTATTTTTTAAATCTGTAAAACTCTGGTGTATTAGTGTATTAACAGACATTTAGACATAACTTGTATTTACAGATAATTTTAAAGATCTTAAACGCTATGAAACGCTCCTAAAACTCCTAAATATATGAACGAAAAGATAATCAAAATTTTTAAGATCTAATCAAACGATTCAATAAGAAGAGTATGATTTGATTAATAGTGTCTATAATAGTGTTTAATAATCAAAATCAAACATCATTTTCCATTTGCCGGAGAATCAACTTTTAGACTAATGCTTAATATGGTATATATTTAGGTGTAATGAGAGGGACTGGAAGTGAGGCTTCAATTATTTGGTGTTCTTTCTCACCATTAGATTACATGAAAGCCTATAAATCATCTAAACATTAGAGAAGTATTCAGTACTTTAGTGGGAATTATTCAAAACCAGAAGAGAAGGCAAATCATTGGGTTTTGTGAGCCATTGGTTGTTGTAATGCATTGCAAGAAATGATTTGAGAATTTAAATACAGAATACATTCAACGCAAACGACTACTAAATTAGCATTGCTTTCAATTTTCATTGTAAGCACATTGAGCTCAGGTTAGGGCCTATCATATCATACCCCATATGATGGTATTCTAGGGGTACTGTAACTCGTATTTAAGATGTTTGGCGTCGGGTTTCAACTCATGTCATGAATATTATTCAAATTCTGTACTGCGATAGCGATTCAATTACTGTCTTCACCCCTCATCTCATATAATATAATAATATTTTTATTATTAAAGACTTGTTTTGGTATAAAAGGGATTTCAAAGGAAACGATTGCTTTTGAATATTGAGTTAATTGAGGAAATGTTTAAGTATTTGATAACAAAAAACAACACAAGAATTGAATATAAAAACGGTTTCAGTTTTTTGCTGCTTAAAAATATCTTAATTATGAGAAAGTAATCAAAAATTCAGACAACTTTCGTAAGAATTAATTCCTAAAAATTATAATCAATTCAAGCCTTAAAAGAGGAGAGAGTATAAAATGAAACGTCTGATAACAAGTCATTATAAATCATTAATTTTTCATTTTGTTTTGCTTTAGTTTTGTTTTGTATAATATTTATCTCAAATCCAGAGCCGATATTAAGCACGAAATTCAAGTTCAACGATGTTTTCTTAACTATAAGTTAAAACAACAACAAAATTCATTTAATTATTAAGTATTAAACGACGCTTTAAATTATGGTTTCAGTTATTTTCTGCTAAATAAAAAAAACACGACAAAACTTTTGCATTAAAAAGTGAATAATTGTTTTATTTATACCTCACTTCCATCCAACGGATTGTCGCCTTTTGCTATAATATAATATAACCGGCAATTCATTTGAATAACAGTTTTCTGTCAATTCGTAAGAAAAAATAGTAAATTATTTTATTACGAATTTTAAAACTCGTTTCTGTAAAACAATTTATATATTTGTTTTCAAAATCAAACAGTACTTCAATTTAATTTAAAAACGATAGAATTTATTTCACAGACAAAAATGAAAACAATTTAAATAAAATCAAAATTTGATCGCAAATAACAAAAAACTACTATCGATTGGGAAAGACATTCAAGACGCCTTTCCATTATTTACAGAATTGGCGAAAACAGGATAAGCGAGTGTCGTGTGGAGTAAGTCGTTGTGCTCTTCGAGTGATGTCTGGGCGTAATGAAGAACTAGACTCACGAGTGACGGGTATATATTGAATGGCTCGGCAAAGCCGAAGCCGCGCTCCGTTTTGTGGATAAGACAGTGACACACTTTGCCGTCGTTCATGATAGACAAGGCGTACTGTCCCTCCTGTCGACTATTCCTGATGAGGAACGTGCCGTCGGGTCGGCTCTTCAGTAGGTTCTCGGCGTCGTCCCGCTTGCAGTCCCTTATAAACCAGGCCGAGTCGTTGTGGTGGGGAAGGGATCCGCCACTATTCGCCTCTAATAACCTCTGGAATATAGCCCTCTGTTTGCCTAACTTCTGAAGTTCTGGTTTAATAAAATTCATTTCTTGGTCTACGAGTCGGTGACGAGCCGTCGAATTCTTCAACTCCTTCTCCAAATTGGATCTCTTTTCCATCAAAGCATTCATTTTGAAGAGTGTCTTCTGGTAGTGATCTTGCATTGAACTGATCTCATGAGCGAGCGATTCGTTTTGATAGTTGGAGTTCGAGAGCAGTTGTTCCTTAAATATCTTTATTAACTCCGAGTATGACTCCAATGCCTTCATCTGCATCTGAATCTCTTGCGCCGATCGGTTGTAGTCATCGTTGAACTGATCGTATAATTCTGTCTTTTTGGTGAACTCTTTGTTGATTTCATTCAACTTTGAGCTCACTTTCGAGATGTCGTTTGTCTCGAAGTCTTCGCATTCTGTTTGATTGAACCTCGAGATCGGGTACAAGAGTTTCACGTCTAGTGTGTGGTTGTATTGGGAAAGAGATTCCTTTCGATAGTAATTGATGAGTTCGACGACTGAAGTGAATCTTAGCGGCTCTGAGAAGCCATACATTTGGTTTTGATGACATATTTTTATCAATTTGTTTGTACTGTCCTTTCGCAGAGTCAGTGTGTATTCACCGGAACCCTTGTTGGAGGCGTCCCTCACGAGGAATGTGCCGTCTTTAGTGTCTCTAAGCTTCTCGTGCGCCTCATCTCTGGATATGTCCCCCCAATACCACTCGCAGTCCTCGATATTGCTCTCATTCATCGACATTATCTGAAAAACACAACATTTGGGACGAAATAAGGGTTAGAATTGAGAGGAAAAAAGAGTGTCAACTGTTTGGGTTAGGAATGGAGACTAAAAGCAAGCCTTACATTAGTGGTCCATTGAACGGGTGGTAGTGTTAGAGTAATGCCGGTGCTGTCAGTGGAAGAACAGCCCTTCACTGGGCAGCTCGCCATCAAATACAGGCGTGCGTCCCAATGATGGACTTGTCTTCGACTGGACTCTCATTAACTCTATCCAAAGCATTAGACTTTGCATTTGTTTTCATCTCAAAAGCATTAAGCGTTTGAAAGGAAAATATTTTTGTTTGTTTTTGAGAACAAAAAGACAGTTTGAGTGGAGAGAAGACTAAATAGTTTGCAAATGAAAGTGAGTGGAAATGGTGTTCACCTTTTAAAGGGCCTACGAATTGGGTTTCCTGTAAGCGATGAATGCGGTATCAGTTGGGATCAGACATCCCTTTGAGTTACTCAGAACCGTGAGTGCATTCAAACGATAACACTATGAGGAGCTATAATTGCCATTCATTTGCTAAACACAACTTCGATGAGGGGCTGAAGGACTCTACAGTTTTGCTTATCTTCTCATACAGTCTCTCATTAGAGGATATGAATCGAGATCTAGAGAATAGACATTAACTCAATATTATATCAATACATACACTCTATGTCTATCATATCATATATCAATACACTGTTAACTAAATCATAACAAAATACCAATTCTTGTTAACCATTTTCAGTCAATAATTGCACACAAATTTCACATATTATTAAATTTAAATGCTTTTTTGATAATAATAACTAGTTTTCAAATAATTCTCTGATATTCAATCAATAATAAAAGTAAAGTATAATAAATGTATTTTAAATATCATTAAAAGATTATTAGTAAAGAAGTCAAAGCTTAGCGAACATTTCAATCCACAGACACTTTTAGTTTCATTAAAGCATTAATTATAAAGAAACCAAAAATAAATCCTCAAAATTCATTTCGACTAAACATTTATGGGTTTAATTTGAAGTCATTTGCTTTGCATTCGGGCTCTCACTTCAATTCATTCATTGACACATACTGTAAGGGGTGAGCAAATGAAATGGTGGTGGGCTGGGAGGCATATAAAACCATATTTCAAACACAGACGGCTTCATAAAGAGTTCTCTACTGTGTTTGAAACCAAGACATACCGTACCCCTCATACCCACCCTAACCCTCACGCATACAGATCCTCGACATTAAATTATATCTCATATTAATATTATTAGCTATTAATCAAATAAAACGATTTTTTCAGTTCAAAGTCATTTGAAAACTTGAAAATTAAGTCAAACTCTCCTGTCATGGCATATACTAAATGAAACCATAATCTGTTAAATAGTTTGATTTACAGTAAAAAAACTTTTCATTTGATATAGAAATTAATCACAAATTCTTGAAATCTTTAAAAAAAACTGATCACAAGTTTCGCGGATTTAAATTAAGATAAAGTTTTTGAACCAAAAATACTTGTTTAAACTTTTCACTGAATAAAAAGTTTAATCAAACAAAAGACAAACAAAAATCTTAAATTATTAAATGAGACAAAAATGATATAATTTATATAAATTATAGAAAAAAATCAAAACATTTACCAAAATTTTCGTTTAAAATACAATTAATTAATTGAAATCATTACTAAAAACGATACCATATTTCTGAACACAACTGAAGGTCTGAGTGAAACTCATTAAACAAAATCCAATTGAATGTCGAGTACTTTGACCTCTAATTATGAGACAATTGATTATAACTATAGCGAGAACTAAATGATTTTAATTAACGGATACCCTGATTAGATTAGATACACCATTACACAATAAACCATAATTATGCATTGATATTAATACAGGTACTAGTATATTTCAACTATAACTACAATTACTTATTAGTTGGCATTTCATATTTGAAACATGTTTAATGGCATTATAATAATCTGTCATTAGATATATATAAATAGCTGTTTTATCCATTAAATCACTTCTAATATCAATCAAATTATTGGACAATTAAAGGGATAATGAGTTGACTGTCATATAAACACTCATTTTGTGCATTCATTTCAAACACACATCATATGTATTACACAAAAAAAGCCCGCATTTCATGATAAAAATCACTAATTAATAGCTTATATATCGTAATAATATGATAATTGTGTCAATATTTAGCAAATAAAGAGATTGACAAATGAAAGCAAATGAAAAGCACACAAACCCTGAACACCTAAACTAATACAACAATTACTGTTAGTTTGCATTCAATTTGACACCAATTACTGCAACCATTACTCCATTAATGCATTCAATGATTGCATACAAAACACACATTCACTCAATATATGGACAATGAATGCATGATTGCTATCAAAACAATGAGACAATTGGTGTCCATTTCATGGCAATGAGTGTCCATTCATTGACGCCATCAATGTGTGTACGTGTGAAGTCATACATCACTCATGAGGTCTCACCTTATTATCAAACATATTCACGTCATGAATGGCATCCAATGGATTGGTGGGCATGTGTTGACTGGTCTTGAGATGTGCCACAGTATCACAGATAATGAGTACTCAGGACAGAGATAGTAGTGATAGTAGTGGTGAATGAGTGGTGCAGTCAGTGATCATCGCATCTGTCTGTAAGTGTTGGCCATCTTTGAGTCCATCACTTACGCCACCAATCATTGCGTTTCTCATACTTTTGGCGCATATTTTGAATGACACTACACTTCAAACAAACTATACTTTCAATTGTCATTCAATTACTAATTCTGTGACATTCAGTGATCGCCAACTAATGCTTAATTATATCATAGTATTTATTAACAGTTATAATGGATTTATGAAACCAATACAACAGTCAATTATACAAACAATACATACAGGCAGTCATGCAGTCATATACTCTTTAGTTTTAATTCAAACTTAAATCACAATTGCATTCAATATATCATATGTTTATAACTTTTAAATTATATAACAATTTATATTTTAGTCATTTATCTAAAAAGTATATAAAACTTCCAAAAAAAACACATTAGTTTAAATTATTAATAGCATCCATGCATTCATATCAGACAACTCTAAGCGGATCCTTGTCCACATCGGAGATCATAATATTGACGTTGTGTGGACCCAGAGATTCTTTGAGCTGATCCGACCACGGCTTCAAAAATCCTCTCTCAGTATTGGTGTGTTCGCAGAGTATGACCGAAGAGCCGCCGTGGATGGCATCCAACACCTCGTGATGAGACATCTCTCCAGTGATCCAGACGTCAGCCTTGCAGTTGCGGAGGACACTGCCACCCGAGCCCGCACATACACCTATTGTCGTCACTTTTGTATCTAATCGCACAACAATTGCATTTAATTTTCAATTCAATTCTATATCATTTATGACACCATACCTCTGGTGTGTTTGCTAGACATTGCAAGTCTGACATGAGTCTGATCCAAGTGTTGTTTCATCCGATGGACCACCTCATAGAGTGGTAATGATTGGTCGAGTCGTGCTAATCGACCCATTCCTTGACCGGGGAGTGGAGGCTATTAATGATATCAATGTTCAAAAGGCATTCATTATGTATTGAATTGAAGTTAGTCTCACGGATTGAAGTTTAGTGATTCGGCTGCAGAGCTGAGCCACGGGGTGTTGCGACAGAATATCCACCACTTTTGGCAAAGTCTTGTCATCGCAACACACTCTGACATCACATCCGCCGTATTCGTTACTTTAAGACATAATACAATTCATACCAGAAGTATGAGAATCAATTGGAGATCTATACCTCTTGACCGTCAAAATGACATTTTCTAAACCACTCAACGCTTGGGTGACGTCTTCGCCTTCTGAGACGAGAACATCCAAGCAGTTGGAGAAGTGTCCGCTTCCGGTCAGGTCTGAATAACTCTGTTGAATGGGCGCTGACTGGGAGGACCCGAATGCCGTCAACAGCCAGTCATTGATTCCGCCTTTGATGGCGTCCAGCGCTGTGTGCGGAGAATAAATGGCTATTTTATTCTCAATACACGTCAATATTATGCGTTCCTTCCAGTGGTTGGGAACCAATGACTTCAATGGCTTGAAAATGGGCGGATGGTATGCGATGATGAGATTGACGCGCTTCTTGAGCGCCTCCTCAACCACTTTCTCAGTCAAGTCTATCGTCAGAAGAATGTTATGCACTTTAATGGGTTGTGTCGGTTGTGTGAGAAGTCCCACGTTATCCCACTTCTCAGCCAAATGAATGGGAACTGACTCTTGCAAGTGGTTCACAATATCAGTCAAATTCATGCCATTTGTTTCCATCATCTGATTCGTTGAATTCATTTGTTGAACAGTTATATTAGAGCTATAAGTGAGGGCTGGGGTTGTGGTGAGTGTTATGCTCGCGGCTCCGGACGGCGGCACATATGACGGGTCCAACCAATCGAAGTCAAACTCTCCGAGCTTTGCATCAAAACAATTAGAGTATTATTTAGTGACAAAACGGATGGACAGCAATGGCATACGTCTTCGGGAATGCCGTCCAGTATAGCCTTCTTATGTTTGGCCGCCTGACTGTGTTTTATGAGTTCACTCCGACCGGCAGTTATCACTGAACGACAGGCAACGCAAAGAGCTTTCGTCGAGTTATTGGGAATCTTTCGCAACCACTGCGAGAACACTGTGTCTTCGAGCCATTGATCATTAAAGTGCTGATAATATATGGACACAAGAGTTAGCTTATGGTCTCTAAATTAACAGATCATTAACAGTCAAGACATACAGTTTTCTTAATTTTCTTGAACTGGACGACCGCTTCTCCGGGGTCTGTACTCAACGGTTCCTAAATATAAGATATTAATAATATATTTAATGTCAAACACTTGCTTACAATCCAGTACTTTAATTTTAAAACTACAGTATGGTATGTACTACGGTAAAACTAAAACTACGGTATGTCTAATAGTGCAAATGTTTACAGTTAAATGTAGTGGTCATACAATATGTGAAAATAATAACAAATATTATACTGTATTTGCAAAAAAAGTCAAACTCAAATCAAATAGTATTAATGTAATAAAATTGAATTAATCGTAAAACTATACATCGATAGGAAATTGAGTGTTAATTACCTCCGGATTTAATGAGTGTTTCTTATGTTTGGATGACTTTGCGTGAGCTAACAGTCCCTTCTTATGGGCGTGAAGTTTGGAGTGACAGGTCCTGCAAAAGGCTGAGTACGGGTCACCCGTGAATGGGGACAACCAGTCTATGGCACAGACGGTCAGACAAACATACAATTCAATGAATGAATCAATTCAAACAAAACCCTCATTTGTAAAATATAATAGCACTACAAATCAAATGCAATGCCAATGAGTTATGCAATAAGTAAAACGTGTTATAAATAGTTGTGCTTTAATTACAACTGCAAAGCCTTACAAATCTTATCGTTTTTCTCATTTAATTTAGATTTGATATAAAATGTTAACCTCTTATTACAAATTTTGCGTCAAATTTAATAGGAATTTCAGTCATATGTGTTGTCACTGTAATGAAACTCTTGAACACAGTCTTGAATTTTAGCATTTTTGCTATTTATCTCTATAACTCATCTATAAATAAATGAAATCCTATTAAAAATACAGAGCCTTTACATTTGAACACTAGTAGTTTAAATATCTAATTTAAGTAAAGTTTTCCAATCAGAATGTACTTGATACAAAATTCTTCAAAATATGCGATTTCTTGAGTGAACCCTAAAAACCAATGATTTGTGTGAACTGTGGGACGGAATCCCATATTTAGTGCAAAAAATCCCAAAACCTATTGCATTGACAGAGAGTGTGATTGAAACCAATTTGAAACCACTTTTCGCTATTAAATGCATTCATTTGAAATGCAATCTCTATTTGCCGTACAATTGGTTTGTGTGACACATGTATGGCGAGTGACATACCCCTGAGCTCCTGGTCCAACTCCCAGGCCCTCTTATACTTCTGTCGGTAGGAGCTCTTTAACTTCATTTTAGAGCCCTCTTCCTCCTTGTCGTTGTCACCGGAATCCATGTCCGCCTCATTGATGGCCACCATCTCCTGGTTGTCATCCGGGTCTGCGGTCACAGTCTCCTCCATTCAATCCAAACACCAATTATTTAAACAAATTTTAAAACAAATTCAAAAGTTTTTTCGTTAAAAAGTTCATAAATTCGGGTCAAAAGCAAAACGCCCTGAGATTTGGGTTAAAAACGTCTCAAACAAGACTCAAATGGCGTTCGGATTATTCCCAAACTCTGTATTATAGGGGAGAACTGGGAGGACAGGGCTCTCATGACAGGCCAGGGATTTCATGCACAACACAGTCTGCTGTATGCATTGCATTGTAGAGCACAGCACAGTCTCGCATACTTTTCCCCTCCGTATTCACAAATCAGAGAAATTCAAACTTTTTTTAATGACTTTAAACTTTTTTGTGTAAAAATCACTAATTCTTACAATTCTTAAGTTTTGAATAAAAAGCACAGAATTTTGTTTTAATTAATCCTTATTTTATTAATTAATAGAAAGACAACTTTTTTGAGATAAAAATCTATACGGAAATAATTATTGGCATTAAAATGATTACAAAATAATAATTTGTGATTAAATTGTCGTTTAAATGGATATATTCTTCTTGAGAAGTATTATCCGTTTGATGCGACGAACCAATGCGTCCACAAATGTATTCTTTTGGGACATGACTTGTATTTTCGAGAAGAATACATCACTTAATATGTATTCCGATTCACTCTTCATGTTCTCAACTTCTTGTTGTCTTTCGTCTGCGATATTGAGTACAGAGAAGAATAGATTCAAGTGATGCCACAGAAGATAAAGAGCCGATTCCACGATTGGCAACACATTCAGACTCTCATTAGATTTGGCGCAACAGTTGTTGATAATTGTGACCAAAAGACCCAACGGTTGATGTGTTATGAGTTTGGAGTCCCGGTTGGACAGACTCGGCTCAAACAGTGGCAACAGTGCTGTCATTGGAATACATTTTAGTAAATTTGCAAATAATTCAATATATTTTGCTTTAGTTTACCATTTGTTCGGCTGAATTGAATACAACCGAACAGAATATTGAACACAATCTCCAAGTCTTCAGAAGTGGACAAATCATTGCAATAATGGGAGAGAAGTCCAATGAAACTGATTTGTGTTGATTTGTTGATATGCGATATGAGACGACAAATCACTTTTGTTATCAATACCAACACTTCTTTTCCTTCGGTGCCGTTCTTCATGTTGGGCGCCATTCGGAGGATATCTGATAGAGTGGTGCGACAGTTGATAAACTCAGACAACTGTTGGCATTAAATAACAATCATTTATTATAATCAGTCATCATTTGGTCAGTGAGTGTGTGTTTACCTCATTAATGATCTGTTGGTTATTAGTGGTGGACATCGTTAGGATGAGCCGAAGAATGTCGACAAACACTTTATGGCAGACAGTGTTCTGTCCGACTAAATAGGGATACATATCGAAGCTCTGAATAGACTCGAGGGCTGACATCACATCCAAGTTGTTAATGGGTGAATGCGTGGAATTGGGTGACGAATAGATTTGCAACAAAAGCATCTGAAATAAGAATCAAATTCAATATTGTGGTCAACATTTTAATCAACAAATTTTATACCATTTTTGCTTCGAAACCATAAAAAGTTTTAATGAATTCAAAATTATTAGCTCTAATTTCGCGGTCATCAGACACTAATGTCTCCAAAAGTTGTCTTAAAGTACCATTAGATGAGATCTCACTCAACCAAACCGAGAGATCACTTCTGTTTAGGAGCGAAATGGACAACACTTTTGCCACTTCGTGACCGGACAGCATATCTTTGGATAAACGCTCCAAAAGTCTGTTTGTATATTTGAATTCATTGAATAAATTGAAAGGTAGGGAACGAAACAGATAGAGAAGGGATGCATAGAAATTAACGCGAGTTATCTTCTGATCGCTCCACACGACTGGTGAAGACGAGTCCAGTATTGATAGTATGGACTTCAGACATGTCACCACATTTGAGGTCATGGCCTGAGATTTATTGACAAACAGTGTCGACGATATCATGAGCACAGACGACGAGATGGGACTCAATAGAGTGACAGATGTCGACGAATCAGACGCTCTATTAATCAATTCAACAATTATTTCCATTAAATATCTGATTCTCAAGTCTTCTTCACACGATTCCAAACATCGCGTTATGATTAGTATCTCAAGTAATTCACGCCAAGAGTCAAAGTATTTTGTTTTAATGTTTAACTTCTGTTGCGATTCATTCAAAGAGGCGCCAAACGCCAAAATAGTCTTCAACTCATTTCTCACGAGATTTGTTTGAATGACTCCCAGTTGGGGACCAATTAATCTGATTTCATTGAGCAGTCGCTGGTGAAGTGCTTTGAGATCAACCGATTTGCTAGCAGTGGAGCACTCATTGATGGCTTTCCACAATCCTTTTTGTTCGAAAAACTCTAAATTAGGCAAAACTGGATGCGAGTGAATGAACAGTATTGGACTCAAGAGGTCGAGAATGCGTCCCCTTTTGGTTTCAGTGAACAAGAAGTTGACATAAGTTGCGCAATGAGTCTTCAGGTTCTGTTCTGACGTTATCTTTATATCAATGGCCAGAATTCGCAGAAAATATGTCATTTCTTGGAGCAATAATTCTTGCATTTCTTGGTTATAATCCGATTCGGAACGCATCCGATCCCATGAATGCAAGTATCGGATAATAAAGTCATAACTAGTTCTCAAAAATCTCAATACAGTCTCAAATGTATAGTGAGTGACACAAAGTTTGTAAAGTATTTTCATTCCGAGTCTTCTCTCTTCGACATACTCTTCGATATCAGCCGTCGAATCAAAAAACGATAAAATTGAATGAAAACAAGTGAAAGATTGGCCCAAATTTCCGGCTTCTTTGAGAAGAGCTCTGGTTTTGTCGATTCCCAACAATTTATGCGCAAAATTATACGAATGGTTGACGCGAACGAAATCCAAACACGTGTCGATCAGATTTAGTGCTTCCAAACGAAGCTCTTTGGAATCAGATTCCAGACAATCGACGAATGAGTTGATAATGTATTCATTGGTCAACACTTTGGAGTCTGAAGACTGGAGTTGTGTTAGACATAAGTGCGACACTTCTTGATTGCTTTTGCAAAGACTGTTCAACACTTTTAATGTCTCGATCGAGGCCTGAGTCGGAAGATATATGAGTCGTATAAGAGTGGACAGCCTATCGATGGCACCGGTTCTTGGATTCACATTATTAAACAGTACATCAAATTTAGCAATTATAGCCAATGGAAAGCCGGGAATTTCATGGACCATATCTATGAAGTCGTTTTGCTTCTCACAAATCAATTTCAAAATCCTAAGCCCATTGAGCGCACAGTTTTCAATGAGTTTAGAAAAAGTGGTTTCACTTTCAAAACAAACGGAAAGCATTTGTTTCTCAAAAGTGTCGGCAATTTCTTCTAAAGTATACAATATTTGTCTGAAAAGTCCGCTCTCTTGTAATGTTTGCGAGAATATAGTGAACGCCGCCTTAGAGTTGGATCCCTCGACTGCGGGCTCGTAGTTCTCGATCACTGTTTGTAAGATTTCGTAACAAATTGTGTTTATAATCCATTTCTGATCGTCTATTTTGAAAGCTCTTGCATTTGTTTTAAGAAGTATTGAATTGATCACAAAATTAAGACACACTTCGGCTGAAGACTGTTGTTGTGATTGATTGGAGTCGTAGTGAATAAACAGAGATTTCATGAGTCGCACGAACCCTATAGTTATGGGATATTCTTCATTCTTGGCCTCAATCTCCTCGATTTCAATACCGATTCCGTTTTGCCATAACCGGTGCTGTAATGACGGATCCATTGGCACAGTTGAGGTCACATTCGGCATAAATTTAGGTAAAATTCCATCGATTTTCGACCAAATCATGATTGAAACCGACGATGAAGACGAAGCAAATCCGGACAAACAGTTCAAAACAGCGGCCTTTAGTTCTTTAGGAACAGCACATCTCAGGATTCCTATCAGTGATGCGATTATCGAATACTGAAGATTCTCAGCGATGGCTAAACAACACGTTTTATCCTAAAATTAAATGTTTAAAATTATTGTTTACTCGAAAAAAGTTTAATAACACAAGAAAATGACATACATTTGTAACAATCACTTCAATCAACTCTATTATCGCACAAATAATCTCCGACTCAATACCAGTGGTGAGCCGGTGCTGTCCAGGAAGTGCTATATGAATGTTAGCCAAACCAAACGGGTTAGTGCTGGCGTTCACTCTTTCCTTATTATCAGATCCGCGAACAGTGTTATAGTATTGAAGAAGAGATGTGTTGAAGGCGTCCATAGAAAACTGTGAACTCAAGTGAAGGGCTGGGCTTTTGATGAGATTGAAGACATTGAAAGCCGAACTGATGGCCAAAGACTTTAAGAGTTTAATGACTGGAATGTGAAGAATTGGGGGAAAGAAGGAGTCCTGAATGGTTCGGATGAACTTATGCAACGACTGCTGTCTATGCGTCGACTGCTTTCCTTCATTAAGTGTCGGCCAAAACTCGTGAGTCAATGAATAGTCATCTTTGCTGTAGAGTTGGGCCAAAAAGTACAAGAGCTTCTCGAAGTGTCGCTGAAGTGTGGCCGGCGGTTGAATGCCTTCCGCCGAATACGCGCTGATTATTCTTCCGATTTCGTCGCCTTTGTCTTTGAGTTCTTTGATTTTGATGGGCATTAAGACAATGAAATCTGTTATCAAGTCGTGAATTCTTCGTATATAAAACTCTTCTCTCGAAACGTATTCATTAAAACCAATCAAAGTATTCAATGACTCGAAAACTTTCTCTTCAATTGTGTTATCAATAAGTTTTTCTTCTTCGACGTCGCACTCGATTCCAATGATTGGATGCAAAGACAGAGTTTTCACACCAATGCCTAAACTGAACTGAAGTATTGTTTTGATTTCTTTTACGCTAAATATATTTTGATTCAGTTGTCGCTCCAAATCCTGGAATAATTCCGAGTTCTTAAGCAAAGAGTTGGTTGAAATCCTTTTATCATTTTCTTCGGCGAATTGCAAGAAGTGGACATCAATTACATACAACAATGACATCAATAAAGTGGTCGACACCGAGTCCAAGGAGCCCTTGGATGTGGTTTTAGACATTCTGGAGATGAGTTGAACCAATTTGTGGACTTCATTGACACTGAGATCAGTTTGCGCTGAATAACAAAATATAATGTTTGCCAACAGCTGTTGAATGTCTTTGAGGAGATCCAACACTTGCTTCCTATACTTGAAGGCACCCAACGCTCGGTTCCGTTCGAGTAATTCAAACTCAGCTTTGATATCAAGTGCTGACAACTGGTCGATGCACTGCATTATAATGCCTTCGTTTTTGAGCTCTTCGGTGAATCTGTTGATCACTCGACTGGAGTCGCGGTTCACTTTCAGAGACCACGTCCTGCCGGCGCTCGCCTGAACCACACAGTGAAGAGCACTCAACAGACTCTTACGGCCGTCCAGATAGAGGAGGACAGCGATTGGCCCGCGAGTCAGTCCCGCAAACCTCGACTCCTGGTTCTCGCCGGCGATTATCAGCTCCAGAGCCGACAACTCATTCAACTCAAACATCTCACTCATGAGTAGCGCCTCGTCGATCATAATCTGCGGTATTGTAGTCTTCACTCTATTCTGCTGTTCAATCACAACAATACCATCTTTGGACGCATTCATCACAATCTCTTTGTGTAATGCATTCCTCGCCTGCAATACAAACCATACATTGAGACAAACATTTAGCTTAACATTTAATTCAAATCAAATACCGGGTTCTTCAGCAGAGATATGAAATCAGTTTTATGTCTCATGAGAGTAGTGTCCAAATCGGCGGACCCTCTCTGGGAGGCTCTGTCTGCGACGGCATTGACCACCAATTGGTGCAGTTGTTTGAATGGAGACCATCGCCGGGCAAACCCTATGGACACGCATTAGGATCACAATTAGTCTTCAGATCTCATGAGACAAACGTTAGACAAACGCAATGTTTACCCAAATTAATGACAGTTTCTGTTGCCATCGCTGGTGACCAACACTGTGTTGTTGTCCACAATAAACACAACCAAATGTATGACTAAATTGTGGTCACAATTGACTGCAATTAACAGTAAATACCAATCATTTGTTGATTCATTCAAATAAGCGCTAAAACCAAACACACTGTCAATGCATTCAATGCACACACAATGCTATGCACTCACACTTTGTAACGTTATTTGTGGACTCAAAATAAACCATTCATATATTCAGTAAACTATTTCTACACTTTTCTAGCCCCCAAATATTTACGCATTGAATACAGCATAGCAAATAATGCACTCATTTTGTCTTAAGGGGGGCTGGTATTCATACTTTTGAATATATGAATGGTTCTAATGTCGAAACACTTGTGCGATTAAATTAGCTAGTTTGTTTTTCACTTATCATATCGCCAGATATTGTTTTTAACATTTTAATTAATTAGATTAGTTTTTCATCTAATTTTTATTTCATTTGCATTTATCTTGCTCAATTATATATCGTTTTGTGTAAAAATTGTTTGTTAAAAGTTTTGTCTAATTTTGTGGAAAAGTTTTTTTTCACAAACAGTTTGTTTCGTAATAATTGTCTTAACAATTAAATTACATTCATTTGACCACAAAATGAGTTCAAAGATATTGAATAAATTAAGTCATAATATATTAGGAGTGGTGGCAAAGAGGAAGTGTCTGTCTTCGGGAGGAATGGAGTGTTGGAACCGTTCGGTCACTCACTTCACATTCAACCCGCAGACCCCGTCCACCAAATCCGGTGACACGACTCGTATGAATCTGTTTCAGGCGGTCAACAACGCGCTCGACATCGCGCTGACCACCGATCCCACGGCCGCCATCTTTGGCGAAGACGTTGCCTTCGGGGGTGTCTTCCGGTGCACTGTCGGCCTTCAGGACAAGTTCGGCAAAGACCGGGTCTTCAATACTCCGCTCTGCGAACAGGGAATCGCCGGCTTCGGCATCGGGATGGCAGCGGCCGGCGCCACAGCCATCGCTGAGATCCAGTTCGCCGACTATATCTTCCCCGCCTTTGACCAACTCGTCAACGAAGCCGCGAAGTTTAGGTACCGATCGGGCAATCAGTTCGACTGCGGCTCTCTGACAGTGCGGGCGCCCTGTGGGGCCGTCGGACACGGGGCTATGTATCACTCGCAGTCCGTCGAGGCCTACTTCGCCCACTGCCCCGGCCTTAAGGTGGTTATACCCCGCGGACCCATTCAGGCCAAGGGTCTACTCTTGAGTTGCATTCGCGACAAAAATCCGTGCCTTTTCTTTGAGCCCAAAATACTGTACCGATTGGCCGTAGAACAGGTGCCCCTCAAGGACTATATGATCCCACTGTCCAAAGCGGAAGTGCTGGTCGAAGGCCATGACGTGACGCTAATTGGTTGGGGAACTCAAGTGCATGTTCTGCACGAAGTGTGTCAGATGGCCAGCGATCAGCTGAACGTCTCGTGCGAACTCATAGATCTGGTGACAGTCCTTCCGTGGGATAAACAGACTATCATTAATTCAGTCAAAAAGACGGGACGTGTATTGATAGCACACGAGGCGCCCATCACTGGCGGCTTCGGCGCAGAGATCGCCGCAACCATTCAGAAGGAGTGCTTCTTGAATCTGGAGGCACCCATCTATCGCGTCTGCGGTTATGACACCCCTTTCCCTCACATCTTCGAGCCTTTCTATTTGCCCGACAAATGGAAATGTTTTGATGCCATCAAAAAACTCATTAACTTTTGATAACTTTTTTTTATATAAATTAGATCTAAAACTTTATAAGAGTTGACAGTGTTTTATATACCGTACAAAAAGATTGCAATAATTGTTAACTATTTTTGTTATGATTTGATATAAAGTGATGTAATTTAAGAATCTGTTTGTCTTCCAATTGAGGAAAACTGAAACTTTGATTGTCATTGAGATCACTGTTATTACAAATCCATCGTTTGTCCTGAAATAAAGGAATTTATTTTCTATTGAACCAAATCTTTATATAATTTAATACTGAATTCTCACATCTTTATAGTTTGGTTTAATGGCTGACAACCAGATCCCCATTGAGACGTCCTCTCCCTTTCAATTTATTCATTTATAAATTAAATTCAAATTAAATGATAGTATTTTATGATTTACTTGAAATCTGTGCAAATAGTTGGCATTGGAAGCAATCCATTGAACTAAATCAGCCGACAATACATATCCCGAACCGCAGGCGAATGTAGGATAGAGAGGCGATTCGTAATCATTTTCAGCCCATTTGCCCCAATAATCCAAAGGCCAAACTCTTCTGAAACTTAATTTGTAAAATGTTTTATATTTTCATCAATTGTTTTATATTACAGTAGTTTTCACATACTTTCCAAACCAAACTTTTCTCATATTTCTATTTTCGATTAAATGGTTTATAATATTAATTACATTCAAATAGCAGTCATCGTCTGTCTTCATATAATGTGTCAATTCTTGCGATTCTATTGCACTAATAATTCAGAGAAATTATGACAAACTAAACATATTTTTAACATTGAAAATAATATTTGAAATTAATTACAATTTCATTGATTGCACAACTTTTTCGGCTAAGTTTCGATAAACATCTATCGAATCAATTAGAAGTATGTCTTTGTGGTCAACCATCTCTTGCGAGATATTCTTCTCTATTTCCAACAATTTATTTCTCCATTCAATTTGCATACCATTTTGAGATCTCATTAATAATTCAATACTATTGGGATCTGTGTTTCAATGTCCACAAGGAAAATACAAAAAACAAAATAAAACCATTTAAATCAAGTGTATTGTAATGACTGTAATCACCGGTGGGCTCGTATGCAAATGTGGGCCCAATCAACAACTCTGGTTTGTAAGAAATGGATTCAAAGTCAGTGAATCCATAGTAAGCCTAAAACAAGAGTTAACCAGCAACATTACTGTATATTCTACCGTATAAGTTAAACCAAAAAACATCATACTCTCAAAATGTTTAAAAATCCATTTTCATTGTATTTCACATTCAATCCATGGTTTGTATCGTATTTGAAGATCTGGTCATCAATTATAAGTAAACCATAGAAATCTTTGGGCAAAACTAACGGCTCTATTGTCTCGTAATATATTTCATTCACAACATATGAATTCAATGAAATTGTTTTACTTTTGATTATTTCCTAATTGAAGACACAAATTGTCTTAAACTATAGACAAAACAAATCTATTAAATGAATGAATACTTTGTTGCGAGCGTTCAGTAAAGCAATTGTAATGTTTGGGTTGTCTCTCAAGAAGTTGTGGTGAATGGCCAGTTGTGTCACAACCACTGAATGTCTTATCTGAGGCAACAATTTGTTTCGTGAATATCACCCAAAACCAATTGACAAGTATTTCTGTGCAACTCTTACCACAAAACTGAATCCTCTGTATATGGGCTCAGAGTATACAGACCTGTCGTTTGATTCATTGACCACTTCTTGTAAATATATGCGAGGATTGCTTGCATTGAATCGGATGTCATTCCGGTGACAATCATAAGGAGTGGTGCGGAACTGCTTAGGAAATGGACAGTCTTTGTCTGCTATAATAAACTTTGTATCGACTCTAATGTGACAAAACTGTTGGCTGTCTTTCAATAAGAAGCTATCGTTTGCATTGATCTCATCGATGGTCTCAATCCAAGTTTGTCTTAATGTCTGTCGCTTTTGCCAATTGTTTCGATGAGAAAGTATTGCTATAAATATATTTTGTGAGCAATTGTTTGCATTCAATAAACGCAATGACCAGTAATTGATTGATACGAAACTTATAATGAAGGCAATGATTAGTGGACTTAATATAAAGTAAACTGAATTAGCGTTCAATGAAAGCATTAGTTGTACTGATTTTGAACTCAATTCAAAGTTTTGTTCAATTCATTCATAAACTCATAAACATTACTATGAAATGCATATCACATGTATGCCAGCCATGGGAGCACTCCATTCAATGCAAACTGTATGGCTGTCACACATTTGATTGTTCACAACATCTGTTACACATAGAAGGGAGTGGTGCTATGGTATCAATACTGGTTATGTAAGAATGATAATTTGCAGGGGAGGGAAGTGGGGGATATACAGTACTGTAATATGACTTTAGAGATAACATAACTTTTTAAAGTAGAAAAGTTTTCTATTTCTTAGATAAATGGCAATTATTAGACTAGTTTTCTTATGAAACTCATAATATAGACTCTATATTACTAGAGAGATTCATTTCAATTAATTTCATAAATAATAGATGTACCATATTTGTGGTGCATATTAATATAAATGCCATTAAGTCTAATCTTTGAATAAAACTTTTATGAATATAGTCTAAAGCAAAAACCATTACATAACTTAATTTATCACTTCTTTATAAATGACAATCAATAATGAATTGAAAACATGTCTTGAAATATAATTAGTAATAAATGTACACATTTTTTGGTACAAATTAATATTTTATTAATGTATTCACTGCATTATTTTAATCATTAATTATCGATAAATTAAAAAAAGAGATTTTTCGAAATTTTCTTATTAATCATATTTTGTGCTGAAGTTTACATTAGTATTATTGCTGAAGATCTATCAAATGAGACCTCCCTTTGCCAATGAATACACAATACATTGAGACCATTGGGTTTTTTAATCATATAAAACTCAAAACTATTGATTAATTACTTTTTCTTAATTTAATTAGATTTTAAAATAAAAAACAAACCAAAACCTGTCATAAGCCGGAGATTTATTTGTCATTTAATTAAAAAAATAAATGTTCAATATATAAGTTATTATATTTATCAACAATTTCAGGGCGTTAACAGTAACACCTAGGTCATTTAAATATCATGCAGTACTTGCAGAGTGAGTTAATTTGAATATATTGTTCGTATAACTTGCTGCTATACGTACATAATAGGATGCAGGTGCCATATGGAGTTCATTTAATTTCTGATTATTTTATGCATAACTAAATCAAAAACAAAACATTTCTCAACAGATTATTTTTAATTGCATTTTTAAAATGGTTTGAAGCCAGTCCTATATCACTCTATGAGCCTCGAGCCTACAAAGCTTACAAAGTTGATGCAGTAATATAAATCTTACGGTGAATACAGTATAATATGAATATCTCTGTGTATGATCAATATTTGGAAACTCTGAATTCTTGTAGTAAAATAAAAATAAAATAACAATTTATTTAAATTGCACAAAACATTAATATAAATACAGTATTAATATAGTAATATCCAATACAATACATTACAATATGAATACGACTATAAAATAATAGTAATACTGACAGACTGTAAGTTACAGCTCTAGAGACTAAATGTATGAATTAGTGTATGTCTGTGATTGGCTACTGGACTGTAGTTTAAATGTGTGGACTGTAACGGAATATTCTGGATCTCAGTCGGTGTCCATTGAGTGACACAATTGTCTCACAAATCAATTCATAATGAATTGACATTTCATTTAACACCCGTTTGTTCCCTACTTTGCATTCAACGCTAAAGTGAGGTAAAAGTTTATTCAAATTCAATGTCTATTTGATTGCAATTTGCAATCATGACCACAATGTATGGCAAAAAGTTGTCCACAAAATTGTCATTCAATTCAATGCTAACCTAATGTCCTATTTCTGGCTTTGGATGTACTCTGAGGTCGGGTCCCATGTGGTGATAGTTGCGGTCATATATTGTCTCAATTAGTGGTCAATTAATGTCATTAATTGTCCATAAAATGTGATTAACACGTGTTTTTGAGCCATAATTAGTTTGACATTCATTTAGAGGTCATGATCTGATTGGACATAATTATTACAATTGGTTGCATTGATTGATAGTCTAAGATAGGAGTGAAAGACAATTGCAATGGATTTATGGCTTAATTGTGTCTGAAAAGTGTGATAACATAACGTAATCAGATCACGTGTACAGACATTCACTGGTGATTGCAATCAATTGATCTGTGATTTGAAAGATTCCAGAGATTCTTGTATTAAAACTAATTATTTGTGATGTCTTTGCATTGGTTCCGGAGGAATGCCTTTCGACGCGGTTTCATTCACCAAGGATTTCATTGCCGGCGGTGTGTCGGCCGCCGTCTCCAAGACAGCGGTGGCGCCCATCGAGAGAGTGAAACTTCTTCTTCAGGTCCAACACTCGTCCAAACAGATCGAGGAAAGCAAGCGATACAAAGGTATGTGTATTACAGTTAAGACATTGAGATAATGAGGCGATGACTGACGGGTTGTTTCTGTGGACAGGTATTATCGACGCCTTTGTGCGCATTCCTAAAGAGCAGGGATTCGCCGCCTTCTGGAGAGGAAACCTCGCGAATGTGATCCGATATTTCCCGACTCAGGCGTTGAACTTCGCCTTTAAAGACAAATACAAACAGATCTTCTTGGGAGGGGTCGACAAAAAGACCCAATTCTGGCGATACTTTGCTGGAAACTTGGCGTCCGGTGGAGCAGCCGGTGCCACATCCCTGTGCTTTGTCTACCCCTTGGACTTCGCCCGAACCCGATTGGGCGCAGACGTCGGTAAATCCGGACCCGAAAGACAATTCACGGGTTTGATTGACTGTTTGGTGAAAGTCTATAAATCGGACGGAATTTTCGGTCTCTACCGTGGATTCGGTGTCTCTGTTGGAGGTATACGAGGAACTGGAGGGTTGTGTGGTTAGCATGAATGCTAATTGAGTGGTATATCTATGCCAATGAATAGGTATAATCATCTATAGGGCGGCATACTTTGGAATGTTCGACACCGCGAAGGGTATGCTTCCGAATCCGAAGACCACTCCGATTTTGATCTCGTGGGCCATCGCACAGACAGTGACCACAATATCGGGTATAGTCTCCTATCCCTTCGATACTGTGAGACGTCGAATGATGATGCAGTCGGGACTGGCAGCCAATGAGCGCATGTATAGGAATACATTTCACTGTTGGGCTAAAATCGCGGGAACCGAGGGCCCGAAGGCCTTCTTCAGGGGCGCCCTCTCTAACGTCTTCCGCAGTACTGGCGGTGCACTGGTTCTCGTCTTCTATGATGAGCTCAAAAAGGTTTTAGGATAACCTTTTCACCTATAATTCAATGCTTTCGTCTCATTACCGGTGATGACATTTCATATCACTTCCATTTCTTTGAATTTAATTTACGGTAAAATGTTTTTAATCTTACGATAATTATATTAAAAATATTGCAATTTTATTGATTTCAGTTACAAATCGTTTATAAGTATTTATAATAAACAGTATAATATAATGTACTCTTATATAGTGCACATGTATTTAAATTATATGAATCTTTAATTTAATAAATTATAGGCCAAAAGTGCACATATTATCTACAGATTTCAAACCTAAGGTCTCTATTCTCGGAGTACACTATACGATGAGTCAGTATATAATTTTGATTTTTAACTTATCTCTCATTGAATGGGAAATGATTTATACAAAAAATTGCACACAAATAGTGTTTATAAATAAATTCAATACAGTATTGAAT